TGCATATACTTGTATTTAAGGAAAACATGATGTATCCAAGGATGTATTTTGTGATGACCTAGTCGTTCGTATTACAGGATAATGTATTTTGTGGTCCTGCTACCCGTTATTATTTCTAAACATTTTTATTATTACATATATGTCATGCAACAACTAAAATTTTATCAATTTTACTTTAATAGAAAAAATACCCATGTGTTGCAACGGGTAAAAATATTTTTTCAGTGATACAACAACTATTAAGAATTGAGCAATAAATTGCATGCCTCTCTTTGACTTAGCCCACAAGTGAAGCCACAGGCCCAGCTCGCACATACGGTGCGTAGCTCGCACATATGGCATCTTCAACCTACGAGAGACAATCACGTGCCCGTATGCCAGAGCCGATCCTCCCTATCAAATTGGGCTGAATCTTTCTCGATATTCCAAAATTGGCTGAGGGTGTTTGATCCGCTCGATCCCTTTTTATATTTTTTTTCTCAAAATCGGAGTAAATCCATAACACTCGGGATAAAAATGGTTAGGGGAAGTCACCGGTCGGCCATCATTGGCGAATTGAGATTAAATCTGAATAATTTAAAGTCCAATTGAAAGGGAAAACGCGAGGAAAATAATGAAAGATAAGTGTGGAATCGATTTTTTAATTAATTGAAGGAGAAAACATACGGTGATACAAACCGACGGGACAGCGGGACGGAAAAAATAATACGGCGGTAAAAAAACAACGAAAAAATGGCGATGAGAAAAACCGGAGGAAGGCTGATCGGGAAACCAGCGACAAAAAAATAATACGAGACAGAAAAAAAAACAAAAGTTTTATGTATTTTTTAATTAGTTATATATAGATATGAATTATAAAAAACCAACTAAAAATCGACTCAGAAACGGATGACGTACGAAGATCCTGATAAAAATATTTTCAATTTTTATAATAGTAGAGATTAAATTTTAACCTTCCATACTTATAGCGTTCAAATCATTAATAACAATAACAACTATTAATCCTACATCAAATAAATAGAAAAATAACAAGGGTAGCATTTTCCATCACCCTGGGCTAGCCAAACACTTTTAGGGCTCCTTTGGCAGCCCGGGATCCCACCGGGATCCCAGCCCATTCCCTGGGAGAAAGGCCCGCGGGGGAAATTGTCACGGGTTTTATTCCATGTCCATTTGGAAGCCCACGAGGCAGGGATTTCCCGGCCCAATCCGCTAGGAAACCCTAGGGAAAGGTCCCCGACCTCCGGAGGTCAGGAATTTTTCCTCTCTCGATCCGCCGCTGCTTCTCGCTCGCGCAACCGGAGTCGCTTCTCTCTCGCGCGAACAACAGCGGGCGCCGCCGCGCCTCCTTCTCCGGCGAGACGGCCACCGCCGGGACTCCTCCTCCGGCGAGAAGGGTAAGCCCTTCTCCTTATTCCCCTCCTCTCCTCCTCCTGGGTTTCCATTCTCCTCCTCCTCTAGGGTTTCCGCCTCCTCTAGTTAGCTCCCAATCTCGCTCTCCGGTCTCAGCGCTTGCATCGCAGGCACCGACGCGTGGGCGCGGCGGGTGGCACCACGGCAGCCGGTGCAACGACGACGAAGCGGCGAGCCGACAGCGCGGGCACACGGCTCCAAGCAGGCGGGGACAGGGGGGATCCAAGGCAGCGCGACTCACCAGCAGAGGAGGCGCTGAGGCGCAGATCCGCCTCCTCCTCCTCGCTGCGCGACGCCCGCCGGTGGTTGCCCGGCTAGGTTTGTGCGTGCCCTTGTAGCTGCTGCTTGATTCTTGGGGGTTCGTTCAGTACTTCAGTTTTCTTGGTGTATGTATGGCATGTTTCTTGATTTGGTTTGGGAGAGTTATAATCTGTTCTCCTATTCTTTCTAATACATTGTAGTATTGTACCCTGCAGTAGCATTTCATTTTGTTATGGAAGCGATTCAGAAGGGGATATGGGTGGGCGTGTGGTGCTCTTGTTTTAGATCATGAATGAGTTTTGGTAAGATGATGTTCTAATTTGATGGAGTAGGTTGTGCTCTGGTTTTTTCTGCAGTGTAATTATCATGCTTAGTGCAGTCTAAATATGTGAGATCAATGTGCCAGTCCCAAGAAATGAGGAATTATCACACATGCAGTGAGGATCATTCAACTAGTGAGGTATATGAGAAATTTTAGTCTGCAAACCAGTAACAGTTTTTTTCTAGTTAATTAGAGATGCAGTTCTTTTAGTTAGATGCTGTCAGCTCTGTTAACCTAGAGGTAGATCTCAGTACTGGTTGAGCTGCTAGCATCAAGTTTTTTGTTTTTTCTGGAGGTATTTTTTAGTCTGATCCATTCTTGTAGTCTCTGTCAGGGAACTGTAGAATTAGTGGTCAATTTAGCATGCATGTTGGGACTAAATAAATGGTAACAATCATATTTTTGATAGGAACTCATACTTACTACAAAATAAAGTCTTTTATGCTCTATACTTATACATTAGTCCAAACTTTAGTTTCATGTCATGTATCACCAGCAGAAAATGAGCAAGGTGGCATTGTGCATTCAAAAAACACAAGCTTTGGCAGCAACCTATATACAAAGACACGCACACACAGATGTTTCAATCTCCTCTCTCTCACTCGCTGCACAATACACTGGCCAAACAAAGTGACCTAGTAGTACTGATTAATTAAAACAACAACTACTACTACTACTTTTTTTCCTTATCATGTCCATAATGATAATTCATAATTGTGCTCTTGCATTCTTCCTCTTGCCAGGATTCAATTTGAATTGCATGCTCAACTTACTTTCAAATATGGACTTGAAATAGAGTATTGTTGGAAAACTATCAATACAAAAACATGGACTTCAAATGCGTTTGATTTAAAAATAATGGTGTGTATCTGCATGTAGGGTGTTTGATACCAAGAGTTTGTTTACGCTGATGTAGCTGACAATTGCAATATGTTGGTTGATGTGCATGCATTTTTTTACCTAAGCTAGTATCAATGGCCGTCCTTCAAATTTGATTGCTGAAGTATCACTATTTTATATTTATTACTTAAATTTCAGATTATCTTTTTCATCCTGGCAGATTTATTAGAATATATGAAGATTTGTTGAAGAGATGATGAAGAAGATAGAAGAGATAAAGATTTAAATGGACCCATGTCTCATTCTTGATCAAGACATTTGTGGATATAAATATGATGTACAGTTCTATATTTGTGGATGCAAGGATGATTCCAAAGATTTTAAATTTTGTATGATATGGATGATTCTAAAGTTTAACTTATGTCATGTCACGAAGTTGGTTTCCACATAAACTCACCTATATTTCTTTGTATTTTTCTGAATTTCTAATACTTGTTGATTTTTTATGTTTTTATATTTTTTTCTGGAATTTTTGTAGGTTGTTTCCTATTTATATGGATTTTCTATATTCTTTCTATTTTTCTTGAAATTTCTATAATATTTCTAGAGACATATTTTGTTGTTCAAACACTGTTTAGCAGTTTGCCTGTCTAAATCCCCCTTCCCCCATCAACCCCCTCACCCTACTCCCAAATGGTATCAGGGAAAATTCCCCTAACAGGAGTGATTCCCCTGGAGGTGGAAGGGGATCGGTTAGTGCAGGGGAAAATCTCTGTACGGGACTTTTTCCCGGGGGTTTCCTCCCCCTGCATCCAAAGGAGCCCTTAGGGATAAAGCTAGCTCCCACTAGAGCTAGTGTTTGAGGGGAATTAACTATTTGCCACTTATCCAAATGGTATTTTTAGATTTGCCTTTTTTTTTTGCCCTTTTAAGGTGATGGCTTCTTAACAATTTTACCACTTTTGTTTACGTGGCGTGCCAACGTGGCTTGCAACCTTAAAAAGCAGAGCGGGACCCACAAATCAGCCTCTCCCCTAGCTTTATCTTCCTTCTCGTTCATCCTCCAGCTTGCCGACAGGGAGGAGCTCGCTCCCAATCCGGCATCCCTCCCTGCCTCCCTCCGAGCCCAGCACCGGCGAGCTCCCTACCCCCCTCCAAGCCTGGTGCCAACAAGCTCCCTTCCTCCCTCCAAGCCTGGCTCCGGCGCGTCGGACCAGTTGTGCAAGTCTACGAAGATCGGGACCGTCGGGTTCGTGGCTCATCGCGCGGCGGCCCTTGGGGCATGCTGCCATGAGGTTGCAGAGCGCGGCGAGCACGTGGTCCACCGCCATAGGCGATGGAGAGGTTCGACGGCGACAAGCGACGGCGCTGGCCCGATGGATAGCAGGTGTGACGCGCCCGCTGGCGCGATGGAGAGGTTCAGGAGCGTGCGCAGCGGCGCAGGGCGTCGTGCCGCGCTTGCTCCGTCGGCACGGCCTCGCCCACCGGAGCTACGCACGGGTGGCCCTCCCCTTAGCGGCATATCTCCTCGGTGGCGGGCGTGTGGAGGTGGGCGGCCGTCCTCTCAGCGGCGGTGCCGGAGCTCGGGGACACCGGGCATGGAGCGGGCTTGTCCCCATTGGCAAGCTGGAGGATGAGTGAGGAGGAAGATGAAGTGAAGGGGAGAGACTGGCTTGTGGGTCCCACTCTGCTTTTTAGGTTACAAGTCACGTTGGCACGCCACGTAGGTAAAAATGGCAAATTGTTAAGAACTCATCATCTTATAAGGGCAAGAAAATAAGAGCAAATTTAAGAGGGGTATTTGGATAAATGGCAAATGCAATAGTGACAAATAGTTAAATTCCCAAGAGTTTGAAGCTAGAATTTGAGTTCGAGCCCTTCCAAACATGCTACTCCTTCCATCCCAAAATAAGTGCAGTTTTAGCACTGTTCATGTTCAACATTTGACCGTTCGTCTTATTTGAAAAACAATTATGATTAGTATTTTTATTATTGTTAGATGATAATACATGAATAGTACTTTATGTGACTAATATTTTTAATTTTTTATAAATTTTTTAAATAAGACAGATGGTCAAAACGCTGGAGACGAATATCTATAGCTGCACTTATTTTGGGACTGGAGATAGTAGGAGCTATCTGAAGGAGACTACGTCGAGACAGAGACAAAACGATTACGTAAAGCTTGATTTCCGCCTTCAGGGGTTTCTGAACGAGAGAGAGACAGACGGCGGCGGGCGGCGGCGGCGGCGGCGAGGGAGCCGAAGCCTGAGAGGATGGTGTTTGGCCGGAGCAAGTCGTCCTCGTCGACGGCGTCTCCTCCCCCTGCTGCGGCGGCTTCCTCGGCGGCCGCGGCGGCGTGCTCGGAGCTGCGTGCGGCGTACCACGAGTGCTTCAACCGCTGGTACGCGGAGAAGTTCGCCAAGGGGCAATGGCACAAGGACGACTGCGTCGGCGAGTGGCACAAGTACCGCGCCTGCCTCGAGGTCACTCCCTTCTCGCCGCCTCCGAATTCGATCACAGCATCACTGATTTATTACCGATCCCCTCAATTTGTTGCAAAGACGACTGCCCTAGGGATTGCTCTTGTGTTTTCGCAGTTTAGGATGGGGTTTCATTTAAGTAGGTTTTTAGTTTATATGGCAAGAAATCGAGTTGTTTTCTAGTGTGTTGGTTGCTAGATCAAGTTGATAAAGTGGCTTATGTAATGGTGATGGCTAAAGCCTAAAGGGGATTCTTCTTTGAAGAATCATCTGATTTGGAGCTCCTAGTTAGACCTCTGTCTGTTTGTTGGTCATGATTCAGGCTAGGCGGCGCATGCGCTGCGCTGGCCTGTTGAATTCCTCCGTTACAAATGTGTGAGATTAGTGCTGCTTGATTCGCTGGTGCTGATTGTTCATTTTTTTCGCACTTGAAGTATGGAAACACACACGGATCTTTAGGGATTTAGTCCAAATCGACTATGCAACTGTTTGGGTGAGAAGTGGGGCTCTTTGACATTCAGACATTCAGAGTGGAGTTGTACTATATGGCAGCATAGTGGCTGCAATAGAGTTTTGAGGGAATCGCCTTTCCGTCACTTGACAGCCCTTTTGTAGATTGTCTATACTGTCTCTTTGTTATTTGATCTCATAAATCTTGATGAAATTCATCAGGTCAATCTTTGGGCTGGCCTGTCTTAAGAAAAAAATTTTGTGCTGCTGTGTGCAATTAGAAATTCAGAAACCTTTCTGAAACTAGCAATACAGGCATCTATTTTCCATTCTTGAACAGAAGTTACACAACGGTGTAGTTGTCCTTGCATTTGGTTTATTGGTTTATGGAAAACAGTTGGGGAAGAATATTCTGGTATTGTTGTATTGCTAACTGGCATCTGAATGCTTTCCAAACCATTTTCCTACATGGTGAATTCGCACCATTGTATCAGCTTCTAGCCAATTGTAGTTAGTGTATTGCTGACTGAGAATTTGCACTAGGGCTAGCCCAGTGTGTTGGAGGTTGGCAACCCAGCCTGAAGATAGCCCATTTGTAGCAAAATTCAATGTTCTTGATGAGTTTTGTTTCTTATAGTACTAAGTTATCAGAATAACGTGAATATTCATGTTTTGGGGATTGAGCGCATCAATTTTCTGAAATCTGACAAAAGAGTGATCATGTTGTGGTATTCATCATAACATATTTGTCTGAGTATTTCCCAGGATTTCTTCAATTTAACATAAATCATGCCTCCCATCACCATTGTTTCACTTGTGACAGGCCTCTGGGTAAATTATGTTCCTCCTATGAATATGATGCTTGTTTTTCGCTAAACGAATCTATGGATGTTCCATGTTTTTATTACTTGCAGGAACATCTGGAAGACAAGAATCTCAGGCAAATCCTATTGGAATCAGAAACATCTGCCTACTATGCCCAGTTTGATGCTGATTCTTCTTCTCGAAAAGGTGGCACCTCGACGAAGTGACAACCTAGGGCTAACCACATATGATCAAGTTTCGCTTGACTCAACCTGGATTAGGAGACCCTCATAGATGAACGAAAAAGGTGTTTGTATTTTACATATTAGATGCATGTTCATGCTGTTGCATCGCGCTGCAGTTCAGCAGCTGAGATGTAAGCTTTTCCAAGATCATATTGAACTCAAACCTACAACTTTGATGTACCCTGAAATTTGCAGCAGTTTCTCTTCCTGAATCTGGGAGAACAGCTTCAGCTATATGTAAACTTAAAAAATATTCTCCAACCCACCAATTTTGTGCTGCATCGATGCAAATTTTCAATACCTCCTATATGCCATCTTCCAAAGTCCTTTGAGCATAGTTCTGGTAGCGTGACAGTGACTTGCAGTCTTGGAGGCTCTTGTGTTGTCCGAATCAGATGCCTTGACTTTGTTGTCTATTATGATGGATTCATTCAACAAAGCTTATTGTTTGTCACATAGGCCTGATCCTCTCTGATGTGGTGGCAAACAAGCAGTGAAAGCTACCAGTCTACCACTCACTCAGGGAAGCTTCGTAGCAAAGCAAAGCATCAGCCTTCACCTTGTCCAGAGCCCAGAGAAAAGGGATCCCCTTCAAGCTGCTGTTCTTCATGGCCAAGAAAGGCAAGAACAACTCTACCAGAAGAGCCTCTGCTTCTTCTTCTTCTTCCTCTGCCGCAGCCGATGGCGATGGATCGCCATGGCTGCGGCTGACGGCCTTCGCCGTGCTCACCCTCCACTCGGCTTTCTCTGCATATCTGGCTAGAGATGACGCGAGGCTGGTCGCCCTCGTCGTCGTCGGCTACCTCCTGATGCTGGTGCTGCTGTTCTATGGCCTGGCCGTGCCTGTCCAACAGAAGAGAGACTAAGGTGAGGCTTCAGCAATCAGTCCTCAAGCATGAACCTGCCTTGTTTTTTTTTCCTTTTTGCTGGTTTGGTTTTCTTGCATGGTTTGATCTTGGTATTGAACTATGGATGTTATGTACAACCCTGTACATGCTGATCAAATGTGTATCTGTATGTTTAATTATTGATGTTACCAAAGAATCACATGTATAATATAAGTAATTCGAAAGAGCCACACACTATGGAGTTCAGTGTACACTTGCACAACTGCACTGAGCTGTTAGAGTTATTGTACATATACTGATCTAGATCAATGCTTTTATTTGAATACTTGTACCATTTGCAACTTTGATCAGGATTGTCTGCTCGAGTTTGTACTTTAGCGGTTGCATATATTGGAGGCGTGTGATTGATCAGAAATGTCTAGTTTTGTATACAAATACAAGCACTTGAACAAGAAAATCCTTTGAAGTTCACGTCAGGGAAAAAAAAAAGCAATCTTCTTCACATCAAACAAAAACTCCCTGGAAACAGTGTAAAAGACAATAGCATGAAAGTCGGGGATATGCTTCTGACCATCATCACACCGGCAGTAAAAAATATCAGAAATTTTGTGTTGTAGATTTTCTTAGTATATGACAATGAAGTTTTTTTTTTTTGAACGAACCATTCAGATGCTACATTGATTATTATTTTAAAAATATTCCCACCAGATCCTAAAAAATATGAAAATTCAATTAAACAAACCAATGATTTTTAAAAATAATCTCTGAAATCTCAATTCAAATCACCGTCCCCATGTTTTAAGCCTCTTGCAAGCAAATATGTAGTTCTTCATACTGTAAAAACTTTGCGATCGAACTAATAATAGTTGGAAATGGGATGCGTTAGGATTTTAAACCAAAATACAGTACATCGCAGCAAATCATCATAAGTTAAATCAGATGCCTGAGATGATTTGGCGCAAGCTCGTCCCATTCAAAAGACTTGGGCTGTGTTTAGATCCAAAGTTTGGATCCAAACTTCAGTCCTTTTCCATCACATCAACTTGTCATACACACACAACTTTTCAGTCACATCATTTTCAATTTTAACCAAAATCCAAACTTTGGATCCAACTAAACACAGCCTTGGTAACTTCAACAATACTGTCCCTAGAATAAAATAAAATGATATGACACTAGAACAGAGAATAGCTTAGTACTAACTACCCGGCTCTTAGGATAAATCGTATTGACTATACATGTTTTTCTTACTTTTCCAACAAGTGCTGACCTAATCCCAACAGCAAACTCACTTTCAGGCTTTCAGCTATTCCCAAATAAATTTTCTGAATAAAGTCATAGACATGACAAGATAACGTTCACAGATCACCACAAATAAACTTTCATTTCAACCAAAAAGAATGCATAAATCCCATTTGTATATGTTACCATGAAAGAGAACATAATGATAGTACTGGTAACAGATACTATGATTTTGTATGAACTGACATGCCTCTTCTCTTCAGTGGGCAATGTCAGTCAGGCTGCAATGGTCAACACAGAGAATCAATGATTTGTGGTCAATCACAAACAAAGAGAATAATCCAAGAACCAAATCCTAAATCCTGCAGCTAAAACTGAACTTACTAGTTATTACAGGTGTAATTAAGTTTCCAAAGGGCCTTGCTGGGACAATCATCTCATCACAGATCATCTGTAAATCAGAACATCCTCCTTGGTTGAATAGAGCTGCATTAGACATGTTTTCCTTTCCCACAAAAATGTTCTGTCAAGCAAGCACTATGAACAGAAACAAACTAGTCTGTCAGGAAGGATCAGGATCATGCAGCAAAAGACCAAAAGTAGTTATTCCGGTGAAACAGTTGCTTCGGCTATTCAGAACATTTGCATAAGATGAACATTAGCGATGTAAGATACAATGTGTCTCTCAACTTACAAAAACGATATACGAGAGGTTTTATGACAGTAATAATGCCCAATTTTAACTATTATAGCGAGTTGACTGTAGTCAACCCAGCCGAGTCAACGTAGAACTCACGCAGGATCCACACTTTGGCAGCCAACCTTTCTTCTTCCTCTTTTCCCCTCCTCCATCTCTCTAGGCCGGGAGGCAGGCGGCATGCCTAATTTAGATGGGTCTAATTTGGGCCGCTACCATTGGTAGAGTCCAAAAATATAGGTGGGCCGGATTTAGTAGTCGCGAAGTAAATTTTAGCGGGCCTACATGGACTAGGCTTGGCTAGCTATCTGTCTGATAGATTAGATATTTTGCTAGGTGGGTGCTGACGTGTTCACCTTTCTCTCAACCACACGATATCTCATAGTCTTTTACTCCGAAAGTTGGAGGTTACACGTGTGCTACAAAAAAGTTTCGAGTCACCTGTATGCCATGACACAAATTTTCGTTTACCTATGTGTCATTCCATCCACCTTCTGTTAGAGAATGAGCTCTGATATATGAGACCCACATATGAAAATGACCAAATTACCCTTGAAGCATTTTCATCTCTACTACTCCTCTCCCGTGCAATGCCCTAGCCTAGCCGCCGCCTCTCCTCGCCGGCACGCCACCGCCTCTCTAGCCGCCGCCGCCGCCGGTCGTCGCCGGCACGCCGCCGGTCGCAGCCGCCGCCGATTTCTCTTCCAAATGTTCCAAATAGAGCAAGGGCAAAATAGATCTTTCAAACCTCCGTTAGTCTCCGTTAGTGTTATTCCATCCAAAGTGGCGCACAGGTAAACGAAAGTTTATGTAATGGCATACAGATGACTCGAAACTTTTTTGTGGCACACGCGTAACCTTCAATTTTATTAATGGCGTAGGGGTAAAAGACTCACGATCTCAAATTCCCAATCGAACGGCGGACACGAAACCAACGATCCAGTTTACCCTCGCCGTCGCCGCCGCCGCCGCCGCCGGAGATTCCGCCGGCGTTCACGCGTGGAAGCTGCGGACCTGCTCCTCCGCCCCCATCCGATCTCCCTGGAGCGACCGCCACCTCCAGAGTCCAGAAGCTCAGCTTCGCCGCCCGAGCTCGATCGCCGTCGCGCAGCGTCGCAGCTCGAGTGCCCCCCCCCCCCCCCCCCCCCGCCTCCGCTTCGTCGGCGGCGAGGGGCGACGAGCTACCGGATGCATTACCAGAATCAGCAGCCAATCGAGCTCGCCGTCGCCCGCCCACATCCACACCAGAATCTGCAGCCAGCCATGTATCAGAGGTAGTATTATCTTACCTGCAATCCTGCATTATATTTTTGTATGGTTTTCCCGCACGATTTGATCTTTGGTACTCCCTCCGTTTCACAGTGTAAGTCATTCTAGCATTTTCCACATTCATATTGATGTTAAAAGATCTATCCATCTAGATTTATTAACATCAATATAAATATAGGAAATGTTAGAATGACTTACATCGTGAAACGGAGGAAGTATATGTGTAGTAACAATCAGTCTGTATGCTCATAAAATGGTGTGTTTATATATATTTATTTATTTTAAGAATCAAATGTATAAGCGATTCGAAAGAAGCTAACAAACTATGAGGTTCAATATATACTTGCACAACTGCACTAACTGAATAATTAACAATTTATTGTACATATAGCCTTTGTACTCTTCGCAACTTTTATCTTCGTCGCCTTCTTGGATTTATGCTTCAGCGGCTGCGTATGTAGGAGGTGTTTGATTGATCGGAAACATAATTGGTATGCAAGCACTTGAACAAGACAATCCTTTGAAGTTCATGGCAGGAAAAAAAAAAGCAAATCTTCTTCACAACAAAACAAAAACTCCCTGCAAAAAATTGTGCACAAGACGTCAGGACCTTCAGTGGAAAGGATATACTTTTGAAAATCGTCATACTTGTAGTAACTAGTAAGTATAAAAAAAATGCTTGTTCTGAATACCAAAAATATCAGAAATTTTATGTTCTTTGAGATGATTTTTTTCCTGAACTAACCGTTCAGATGCTGCATTGATTAATAACCTTAAAACTTCTGCGTCCGTGTTTCAAAAAATATGAAAATTTTCAACTGAATAAACCATGGGATATAAACAAGTGTTTGTTTGAGAAGTAGATTACTGTCAAATGGATAAGAAAGAACTAGAAAAGTAATCTATGAATATGTGATGACTTACTAGTTACAATTCAAATCACTGTTCCCATATTTTCAGCCTCTTGCAAGCAAATATGTTGTTCTTGATACTGCAGTAACTTTGCAAACTGAAAATAATTGGAAATGGGATGCATTAGCATTTAAAAAAAAAGAAATATAGCAGTAATCCATCATGAGTTAGACCAATAATACCTGAGATGCTTTGAGGTCAAGCTCATCCCATTCAAAGGATGGATTTGTACCTTCAACAATTCCGGCACCAGCATAAACTAAAGTGCTATGACCCTAGAACAAACAACAGCTTGGTAACTAATTGGCCCTTAGGATATGGTAACAACATGGACATATTTGACAAAAAAACATCACATCCCAATTATATGATCAATCGTACTGACTACATTTTTTTCTTACTTTTCCTAGTAGTGCTGATCTAATCCCAACAGCGAACTCACTTTCAGCTCCTCCAAACCAACCAACAGGTCCAGCATACATTCCACGGTCAAAAATTTCTGATGGACATAACAATAGAACATTCACTGATCACCATAAATAAACCTTACTTTCATCAAAAAATCTTTTATCGTCAATTTTATTTGTAATTATGAAAATAACAATATAGTTGCAATAGATTATAGAGGCACATACCATAATCTTGTATGAATTGGCGTGCCTCTTCAGTGGGCAGACCACAAACGGCTGGGCTCGGATGAAGAGTATTTAGGATGTCAAACTGCAATGGCCAGGCCAACACAAAGAATCAGATCGGGTGTGGTCATTTTTTTGACAATATGGTAAATTAAAATCCAAAATTCTTCTTGCAAGTAAACCCCCAAAAATTCTGAAAATTCCAATATAAAAGACTGAAGAAAGCCCTGAATCATAGACTACCTCATCGTCTTCATTCCTCATTCTTGCAGCTAACTGAGCTGACAGGTGTTGTACTCTTGGAAGTTTCCGAAGGGCCTTGCTGGGATGGACAACCACATCATCGCAGATCATCTGTAAAATATAATAAATTCCTTGGTTGAATAAAACTGCACTGGCCATGTTTTCCCCCAATAATATTCTTGCAACTAGGAACAAAACAAACTATGTCAGTATCATACTAAAAAAAATCAGTCAGTGTAAAACTCAACTTGCCTCCAGCTTCTTCTTTATGCTGTCCCGTACTATAGTAAATTCATTATCCTCTTTGCTACTGCAAGAAAGTTTTATATTAGGACCTCCTTTTATTTTCTTCACGGACGGTGTTGATATCGCCTTAAATCATCTGGAGATAGGTTCATTATATGTTTATGAATCGAAGAAGGGAAAGGTACCTTAGTAGCAAATCTTGACCAATTTGAAAGTCATCAGCCCTTGTTTTCCCCCTTGCTCGTGTACCAGCTAAAGCCTCGCTGGAAATGTTTAAGTATTTCCGATGAAATAATTGCTCTGGCTATTCAGAATATTTGCATAAAATGAACATTAGTTAGAACTTAGGTCATTGTTATTTAACATGAGAAGGCCAAAATAAGAAAAAACATCCAAGTTCATGTAAATATAGTAAGAGATATTCTAATAAATCATTTGGAGTAAAATCGATACAAGAGATCACACAGAAGATGTGATGAAGGAATTTGTTTTTCAGAATAGAATTGACATACACTATTTCCAACAAATGCAGGAGCATCAGGTGGCTGTATACAGAACTGATAAGCATTTTGGCCCTCAACCTGTATATTCAGTGTCAGAAAGATCTAATTGTTTTAACAGCAATACAAGAGATGCAATATACCTTTAAACATGCCAACAGTTCAACAGGGTCAATGCAAGTATCAGTAATATATCTGCTACACCTTGCCAGTACGACCTGCAGAAAATATCGATGCAAGCTTATTTCAAAATAATGATCACAACATGACTTGTCTAGATTTTTTTTTCTTTTGGGGAATAAACTTGTCTAGATTTTTTCTTTAGCAAACAGTAAATGAAATGAATAATTTACCTTTACTAATTCTCTTTGCTTCCCTTTAATCATCTGGAGAGCTTTAGTAACGGCAAGATCCCAGGATGCCTTTGTGGGGACATGATTAAGATTTAGTATGGTTGTTTGCAGGGTGGAATTGTTCACTTTAATTGGACTGGATGATATCTGCAGAAAGCACAACAAGGTTACTATCTTCCACAGTTCCACATGACTGACAGAATTGGAAGAAAGAGAAATGCATACCTTCTGCAAAGTTGATTGGAGCTCCTTCACAGCATTTTGCCATGTCCAAGAAAGTGAATCATCCCATGCAATCGTCGTTGCGAGAACCGAGCTCTCTTCAAGCTCATTGTACTCAACCTACACCAAGTATCAGAAACACTTCAAAGGAGTCAGTATCACATTCCATCTATTCCAATCCATAACTGGGGTGATCCTGGTAATTAAGTAAGGACTTACTTGAGGAACAATGAAGTAAAATGATCCAAATTCCTCCCATTCAACTGAATGATCGCTCGTGGCATCGAAGCGGATAGCACCATAAGCACGAATCAGTGGGCAATCCCTTGGAAGAAATCTTTATGGACATAAATCAAGTCATTGGGTCAGCACCAGCATGAACCTCATTGGAATAAAAAAAAATAAAAGCAATCATGAAGCAACAATCAAGAAATTCAAAGATAATAAAGGATCATGTGAATAGTTCACCATCACCAACAACACAGTAGGAGACCATGTGAAGTGTTCACTGACACAGTATGGGCCAAGACCAGCATGAAGCTCATTGAAATAAATAAATAAATAAATTTATAAAAACAATCAAGGAATTCAAAGATAATTCAAGATCATATAAAGAATTCACTAACACAGTGCAAGATCATGTGGTTTTTTTTTCTCTTGAACACACGCAAAAGTTTTGTGCTTCATGATAAAGGAGCACCAGAGAAAAGTGTCTTAAACCAATACACAAAGCACTTCCAAGTGAGCATTTATCCCTTCTATTTATTTTTCAGGAAGAAATCGCCGTAAATTTCTTATTAATCCAACTGAAATTTATCAAAAAAATTACTAGCAACTAGCTGTTCATTTACTTCTTAAATTTGCTACGCATGGTTAGTTTCTACTATTGTAATCTCTCTATTTTTTTAAAAAAAGTTAATAACATCATATACTACCCCATCCTAAAATATAAGTATTTTTATTTTTTGAATAGTGTAAATCAAACATTTTTAACTTTGACTCTTAATAGCAAAAGAATAAAAAGAAATATGTTCAAAATCAATAAACGGAGTATGGTGAGAAACGTCCAGGGTCTACAGCTAACTCTATAGAGTGGTGAGTTAGACAACCTAAGTTTGAAGCTTCACCCCTTCTAATAATTTGATATTAGGTCATTTCCTAATATTCATGTCTTTTTAGTAGGAACATATCCTATGCATACAAACTTTTTGTGCACACTCCGTGCACAATAACTAGCAAATGTCACGAAAAATTCTATAAAAAATTGTACACATACTTCAAACAGTATTACATCTATATGTAAAATTTTATCTTCAAATTTATTATATTTTAGCCGTAATAAAAAATATAAAATTCTGACAGATTTTTACCCTTAAAACTGTCAGATTTTTCATCTTTTGTTACTGCTAAAATTTAATGAATTTGAATACGAAACTTTGCATATATGTGTAATACTAATAGGAGTAAATGTCTAATTTTTTGTAGAACTTTTCGTGAAATTTGCTAGTTAGTGAGCACGAGAAGCTTATGTGCGTAGGATATGTTTTTAGTATAGTCAAAGTTCAAAATCAACATTTATCATCATGTATTAAAAAATGTAGTAGTAGATGGCACCATCGATTACCTCTTGATGGCGCGCCAGTCGCGGAGGGAGAACGGCTCGGTCCCGCGGAAGAACACGGCGGACCCGACGCCGGCGACGCTCACCGGCCGCTGCCGCTGCTCCCCTCCGACGCCGCCTGCTCCGTTGCCGTTGCCGTTGCCGGCGGAGGCGATGGCGAGGGCCGGGCACTCGGGCAAGGGAGCGGCGGCACGCGCGGAGAAGAAGCAGCGCGCGCGCAGGTCGCCCTGCGCGTGCAGCCACTCCACGGCGTCCCCTCGCTGCCGGACGGGCACCTCGATGCGGATGATGCCGGAGGGCGACGCCGGCGGGTCGGCGGCCTCCAGCGCCGCCACCGCCTCCCTGAGCTGCCCCACGGCGTCCCCCGCCGCGCCCGCCGCCGGCAACGCCCGCGTCTCCCGCACCGCCACCGCCCCCGCCCCCGCCACCGCCGCGCCGCACCCATTCATCGACAGCGAGCACGACGGCCGCTGCACCCATCTTCCCACCTATACCAAGCAAAAGCCAAGAAATGCGTCACCGATCAGCTCCCGGAGGAAGCAGAAGCGAAAAGAAACCGTGGGAGAGAGAGAGAGAGTACGTACGAGTCTCGCCGACGGGAGCGGGCGGCGGCCGGAGGAGCGCAGGGACGGCGACGAAGACGACGGCGACAGCGTCCGCGGTGGCGGCGGCGGCGCCATTGGCTGGTTTGCGAGGTCACTGAGCGGTGTGAGGCGTGAGGAGGAAGAAGAGGGTGAGTGAGAGTGAGGTGAGGGGTGCCCCACGCGCGCGCGGAGGGGAGTTCGCGTCGCGAGGGAAAGCGCGAAGAGATAAGAGGAGATTCTCTCTATTTCTCAGGGGGATAAGTGGCACAACCGTAATTTTCCACGCCCCTAGCTGCCAGCCTGCCACGTGGCAGATTCCTACAGGTCAGCACTGTGGTCATTTACCTTTCACCTTAAAGGCCTGTTTGGAGGAGCTTCTAGCTGCTGCAGCTTTTCCCAGAATAAAAACCTAGGAAACCTAATTTTTGTAGATTCTGGTTCTTAGAAAGCGGCTACCAACCAGCTGCATCTCAGAATCTTAAACTCCCCTAAACATGTCATCTAGTTTCCATATCATTAAATACATTGTAACATAAGCAAAAGTCTAATGTAGCAAGAGTTAATGGTGAGAGAGGTAAAAAGATAAAGAAATTATTTCTCATGCAAGAAATTATCTCTACACAAGAATTAAGAATGAAAAGATACTATCTATATAAGAATAAATAGGTGGATAAAAAGAGAAAAGAGAGGTGATTGGATGGGAATTTAATTTGAAGGCACCCAACCCAGGTCATCCCCAACCCTTTATTATCAGTAATATGTTTCCTCCTTTGGAAGAAGAAAGTAGTGTTGAATAATTTAAGAAAGTAGTGTTGAATAATTTTGTTATCTTTTGTCTCGTCTCTATTATATAGGAGTATATCTGAAGTCCGCATGGTACACGAAATCAATCAATCAAACTTATCTGAAACCATTTTTTTTCTTTTCCGACAGATTTTAAACAAATTTGCATGCCTACGTCACTTTTATGTTCCAAAGGATATTATAAACAATTCACGCGACTATTCTTTTACTTTTCCGACAGATTTTAAACAAATTCACATGCCTGCGTCGCTTTTATTTTCAAAAGGATATTATAAACAATTCACGTGCCTACGTGGTGTAGCCACAGAATGATTTTTTACGTCTAAGAGTACGTGTAATTGTACAGGTATTTAGACAGGGACTGAATATGTTAATAGTACTCATTTGCTCAGCATTTAAAACCACTTTACTAGACACCTTGACAAGCATATAAACAGTTAGTTTAATTGGAGCACCATAACCACAAGCACAGTGTGGACAATGACAGTGTGAAAATAGTAACAAAAAATTGTCACCTAGAAGCAAGTTCATAATTTTGCCGAGCTTGAATTATTGGGGTGCAAGGGTTGCTCATTGAACAAGTGCTAACACCGATAACAGAAAAAAAAAATCCTCAAATTAAACATGGCAGTTCTTGGAATCTAATAGACTGCAACAACCAAAAGATGCGCATGCGCCAAGATGTTTTTCAACTCATCTCAATTTCATCTTTGAAATGTAAGTACACCCTGAGAAAAATCAAGGCTTGAGGGCCACCGCAATGCCGACCTTTGAGCTCTTGTCAATGGCCTTGGTGTCAACTTCTGCTGAGATGGTCCACACAGACTTTGGCCTCCACTCGTGCTGGAGCAGCGCGCTGGCCTTGCCGGAATTGTTGAAGCGGGCCTTCACGACGGTAAGCGGGTCGAGAGTGTGCTGGGTACCGAAGGTGAGGGAGTTCTCGTTGCTCGAGAAGCTGTGGGTCAGCTCAGCTCCAACAGCTGTGGCCGAATGGTTCACAATGTGGTAATAAGATGCAGTGAGACTATCTCCCTTGTTGTTCCTGCAAGACAGTTTCAAATCAATTATGGATTTTGGATTTTTGGTAAACAATACAATCAACTAGCAAGTCCTACATATGGGATCAGTTATATCTATCTAAAGATGAGGATAATAGAGATTGATGATTAGTTGATATGAGATGCAAGCCAAGATACTTATTTCTAGATTCAACATATTTGTTTGATTTTAATAAAAGAATGTAACACCAAACGTCAGTTTTCAATGTTGATAAGGTGTGTATTGTGCAAAGTATCTTGATCGTATATGGTCAACTAAAATAGTAGCGGCTTTTGAATGGAGATCACAAACATGGCTTGTAAACATTATCTTGCTCTCTGTAGTTAACGAGAACAAGGAAACATGTCAACTACAATAAGATATTAACATTGATAAGTTTACTCTATTTTATCTCATGTTTCCTACCATTATTGAAAGAGGTAGATCATGAAACCTGATAAAAATATATATATATAAACTCTATTTGGGCTATAAGTTGTTCAGATGGCAAGAACAGACACATTGCTTCTAGCGGGACAGATGGAATGGTCAATAGGATGTACAAATGTGGATTTCACAATAACTTAAAGAGTTATGAAGTTAGAAGATGATGAAGGTAACAATTCACTGTAAGCCCAAGACACTTACAGGTTCAATGACGCGATAAGATCATCATTACTGAAGCTCAATCCAGCATTATATTTGGTCAAGTTCCCCGTGGCGGTATCAAGTGAGACATCAGCACCAACAGCAAGAGCCTTGGTTCCAAAAACACTGGAGAGATTGACTACAGGACTGGCAGTCAAACCAATACTTGCACTAACACCAGCATAATCATGCGAGTATTGAAGCTCAAACTGAAACCAAAAAGAGGGAGAGTGAGGACAACCAACCAAGAAGGTTTCATTGAAAATAAGCAGTAATGTGGTGCATGAGCAAATTACCTTTCCAGATCTTTGATCCGGAACAGCAAAGCTCAAGATGGACTTCAATCCTGGTGTTAGCTCATCAACGGTTACAGTAGTAACAACCTGGCCAAAGATAGAAGCAGTCAATACAAAAAAGGGAGAGCATGGCATAACAGCTAATCACAGAACATATTGCTCAATGCAATCAAAACTAGTAGCATATTCGGTACGAATTCGTCAGATGGCAACGTAAAATCATTTCATATAGAACAAGGATTCAAACCATTGCAATGTAGCAGGCAACCACAAAATCTAAATAAGTTGTGTGCAAGTTTATTTGGGTGTGTCTGTGTATTTCATATAGAACAAGGATTTCAGACCATTGCAATGTAGAAGGCAATCACAAAATGTAAATTAGTTGTGTGCACGTTTATCTGTGTGTATGTGTGCGCAAGCGTGTGCACACGATGTGTGTGCGTGAGAGAAAGAGTCATACATTTGAGTCTGAGTTTGCTTTCACATCTACAGTGATGTTCTTGTTCTTTATCTGTGATTGGATCTCACCAAAAATCAGATCAGCCTTCTTTGTACTGGTAGCAGTGATTGCCTGCATCAAGGAATAACAAGTCAAAGAGCTAAACAAATAACATCATAGCTGCCACAACAGGCATGATTGTATCAAAATTTACAATCATACAGGAAAAGCAACACTAAGATAACCCTCAAATATACACCCCAACCAGTCACCACCTTTACAAGCTATCATTACGAACATGTAATTGATTAGTACAGCCTTTAGTAGTTTAGGTTATTCCAACAATACAAGACAGTTTTGTGTTTATTATGCACAAAATTCACTTTCATCAATGCTTCTCTTAGCAGGAGCACACTTCAACTATTCCACTTACAAGCACTTGCATGAAGGGATTTCTCCCATAACTTTTAGTTTTCTTTAAAAACCGTAAGCATACCAAGGGCAAAGTATAATAATTGCATAATGTACCAAACAAGAGTCCTCCCTGCTTCAGTAATAGACTTGCTTTCTTAAATAAAGAAGACTAATTAAACTAATGTTCTGCAACCAACAAGTTCATGTTCAACCCTCTTTCAAAACAATCAAACCACCAATCAGTTGCCAAGCATGCTGTTGTTTTAACCCAACTCCCTACCTATCATTATCAATAACAAAAAAGACCTACCTAGGATATAGATTACTCCTAAATCATTTTACCACTATCCAAGAGATAATCTCTCGAACAATCTTTTAGCTTACAAATCCCGCGTCTCACTAAGCAACAGGTACATTGCTAATCCTCCTAAACAAGCGAAACAAACCAAGGCACAAGCGAGACCTGGCAAATCTCCCGGCATTCATATACCTCCTACAATCCACTAACTATGGACTATAAATAAACTAATCCATCGCAAAGATCACACATCACACATTAACAACAGCAGGTAGGGGCAGTAAATCACACAAATAAATCAAGAAAGCCTCTTACATACAACAAGTCAACAACAAAAAAAACTCGAGAGCACTTACGACGCCATTGCTGGTGTAGGTGGTGAGGGTGAACTTGTGGTCGGTCTGGTAGTCCCTGTACAGCAGATCTGCAGCAAAAACAAACAACTCATCATCAACAACAAACAAACAAACAAACAAACAAACAAAAAGAAAATCAAATCCAAGAACCACCAAAGCTCTAATCCCACAAGAGAAGGGGACGCGGCCGCTCACCCCTGGCCTTCTTGCCGATCTCCGGGTACAGGCCTGGCCCCACCATCTCCTCGTCGACGACGCGATGCGGCGGCGGATAGCTTGCGCGGGTGGGAGGAGGAAGAAGAAGGCGGCGGCGGATAGGAGGTGGAGGTTGCGGGAGAGGAGAGGAGAGGAGAAAATAAAGGCGGAGGAAAAAAAAAACACGGCGCGGCGAGGCTGCGTGTGGGCCCTGATAAACCCTAGATTTTTATTTCGTTTCTGGTTTTATCTTTTTTTTTCTTCGGTTTTTTTCTTTATTTTATCCTTTGCTTCTGTTATATCTTGAGTTCAAATGACGTTGTTATCTCTAGATGTCTCAAGTATCTAACCCGTCCTTTGGTATCATCTTGGTATCGGATTTTTTTTTGTTGTTCAAAATTCAAATGGTTTATAAATTTGTGATGATATCAGGTGCAGAATGGGTTAGTTCAATAATATTTTAACCATTTATTGCAAATAAATGTAAATACTATTTCATTGAATCTAAATTTCACATTTTCATAATTCACAATTGAAAGTATATTGTATGCCTCTTATCATCTACTTGTTAACTTATCAGCTACAATATTTTAAAACTTAATTTTGATGTGTTTTCATCACAATCTAATTTTCAGCACTGTCTTTTACACCCAACATAATATAGATATAAAACTTTTTTCAAAATTTATTATAATTGTTTCGTTTATTTTGTCACGACTTGTCAGTTATAACTCAAAAGGTCAAAGCCTATGTCAACTAATAACCTGGTTGTGCAGCTATAATTATGTGTTGCTTTTGTTGTGCCCCATAGCATTTTCATTTTTTCAGAGTAGCTGAATACACAGGCTGGAGATGTGGCTGTCTAGCCTGCTGAGACTTGAGAGCTAGAGCATCAAACGGGTTTATTCTTTTCCAAACCATGTGATTGAATGTAAGGATTCTAAGGCATATATTCTCTATTCAACAAGATGTACATGATTGAGCGATGTATAATCAAATAGTCCTTTTGATATTGTGTCTAAACTTTTGATCAAAATCTTGTCTAGCTAGATTCATATGTTCTTATGTTCCAAATCACGAATGCATTGCAATTGTATACAGAGTGCATATCGGTATAATGGAAAATATTGAAAATGCGACAAAGGTCCATGATATATACATATCTTGATCCAATGGTCCAAATGGCCAATGGATAATAAATACATAATACCGTGTGTGGGTTTTTATTTCCATTGCAGCTTAAATGTAACTAAGGCTGTATTCTTTTCTTTAAAACCAGGAAATAGAGAAATAAAATAGTTCTTCTGCTAGATTCTTATATTTTCATGGAACCCACCGTATTGCCTGCTTATACATATATATTGTGAGATTTTCAATAACAAATACTTACTTTTGCCCTAACTCCAAACTGTAACTTCTTTATTTTCCATTAACACGTTTTTTTTCAATCTGTTAAATGGTGTGCGTGTGTTTTTTTTGCAAAATCTTTTATATAGAAGTTTATTTTAAAAATCAAATAAACTTATATTTAAATTTTATAATCATTAATATTCAATTAATTATACTCTAATGGCTTACTTCGTTTTAGCTGTCGTAAAAAAGCTAAACCAAATATATCCAAACTAGGCCTAACTCTTCATCAGCCAATGAGTGAATGTACCGTGAAAGTATAGCACGAATGTCATTTGAGGTTCCATTAGAAAAAAAAATGGAAAAGCAAAATAAAAAGGGCAAGTTAGGGATGACTTAGGATAAAGAAAGAGTTGGATGTTGATTTACAAGCCATGGTACATTAGGCAATTAAAATTCGACTAAGGTGACATTCTTATAAAGCTGTCTCCATAGCAAACACGGCAATTTTAGTTAAAAAAATAAACTTAGGTTGCGTTCGTTGCTCCATGTTGGAAACTTATCCTCCCACACGAAAAACGAGGTGACTTATTAGATCATGATTAATTAAGTATAAGCTAAAAACATAAAAGAAGTGATTAATATGATTTTTTTCAAGCAATTTTTCTATAATTTATTTTCAAGTATTAGCATTTTTTTCTATTTTTTTAAAAAAGAACGCATCATTTAGTAGTTTAGGAAACGTGTGCGTGAAAAACGAAGGAGCGAAGGTTAGAAAAGAGGATAAACGAAAGACACGAATTGCTGATAAATCTATAAATATAATGCATTCTGAAATAAACAAATAAAGAGAGAGAGAGAAAAAAAAAAACCTCCAACATTTTTCAAATGAATCATGCTTCAAAGGCAAATTTTGCTATATGACACTCATATTTTATGTAATTAGCTTATAGATATCGCAAAACGTGTTACCACTGAAAGATACCATAAAAACTAGTAATTTGCTAATTTGCTAAGGACACTTTCGGCTCAATTGGAGAGAAAAAACTAGTAATTTGCTCAGGACACTTTCGACTCAATTGGAGAGAAAAATTCTTTAAAAGGATGAGGATGCCCCTAAGGCCAAAAACTTCCAAGCTGAGGTCGTGTTTAGTTCCAAAGTTTTTTTTTTTCCAAACTTCCAACTTTTCCATCACATCAAAACTTTCCAACACACATAAACTTCCAACTTTTCCGTCAACCAAATTTCCAATTTCAGTGTGAACTAAACACAACCTGTGGCTAGAGCGAAAATGGAATATGATGTATGCTAGCGATATACTTGGGGTGATGGCAAATTTAAAGTTGCATAATTTTCAAAATTTCACTCCATGTTTGAAGCATGTGGTACTAGGGACATTCTCGTCTTTCATAAGAACTTATCTCTTCAATTGAGGCGAAAGTGTCCTCTAGCAAATTATCAGGTTTTAGGGTATCTTTTAACCGTGACACGTTTTTTACGATGACTACCAACAAATCACACAAAATTTGAATGACCTGTAGCAAAATTTACTAGCTTAAAATTGATGAAGAGGGCAAAACCTACACATCAAAATGTCACTTCAAGCCCATAATCCTACCCAAGCCAACATGGCCCAGGCTTTGAGGGCCGTGTCTACGTAGCCCAAAATCAATTAAACAAGAGGTTAAGGAGATGTTGGTTTAGGCCCTGTTTCATTCAGCTTAGAATTATTATAATCTGTATTATTAGAAGTAAGCTGAAAATAAACAAGTAGATTATTATGATATATTATTATAATCTATAAGCTAGATTAGTATAATCTAATAATCTTCTAGGGAGGAGCTTTTTCCGGATTATTGAGTGGCTAAAGACCCACTACCCTTAGATGCTTCCAATAATCTAGAGACAAATAACTCGTAGCTTATTCTAAACCAGCTTATTATAATCCAGCTTAGAGTAATCAAATTTAATAATCTTGATTAAAAAAATCTTAAACTGAACAAACAAGCCCTTAGCTAGGCCTAATGTTGGAACAGCCAGAACATCTTGCTTTTTGGTAGGCTTGTTAGGCTTTGTTATTCCAACTAGAAATTTCCTTTTGAAAAGGGAATGAGAATAGCAGAAATATGTTAGAATGTAAATTAAAGAATTAACCAATCCAAAACATATGGAAATTTACATGAAATTTGCAGGAGTTTTTAACCCAGATGTTTTGCTCTTTTTTTTTGGGGTAAAAATAGAGAAACTGTTTCTTCTGCAAAGGAAAGCAACGCTGTCTTTGCTTTGTCCAAAACAAACTTAAGGCCCCATCAAACGGCATATTTACAAACGAAAAATAATTCATGAATAAAACTTTTATATACGTGTTCTTATCGATCTAAAAGCAACGACTGAAAAATAAACTTCGATGAAAAAACCTCAAAATCAGCTTCAAATTTAAGGTTACAAATTTAAATTTTGACTAATAAGCATAATAATAAGTGAAAAGATGAGGCCATCAAGGAAAAACATTCTACAGAAATAAACCTGTCAAATAAAAAGTTCTATGTATAAATAAACAGGCAAGTGTTTGACTTTCTTGGCCTAATGTATTAGGTATTTTGACAAGGGAATGTTGCTCTTTATTACTTATCCATTTTGAAATATAGCACCCTACATGTAACATTATACTACCTCCATTTTTAAATGCATAATGTTTTTAAATATCACCACTTATTTTATTAAATATATATATGTAAATATAATTTATTATGTTATGACTTGTTTTATCATTAAATACTTTAAAAATGGCTTATATTTTCTTATGCACACTAAAATTTTAAATAAGATATATAGTCAATTGTGAAGCATGAAAGTCAACATCGTACGTGACAAAGGAAAAAAATATGTGTTGTTAATACATTTTCTAATCAAATATTACTGTAATGTACGCCTCCCTAAAAAAACAAAACACTTTCAGGCTCATCCTCGTAAGTTATATTTTTTCGGGACGATGGAATATAAAATACGAGTATTTTATTATCTACAAAGATAATATGGCCTTATCCGTAAAAAAAAAATCAATCTAGGAGTGAATATACCCCATATAACGAATCTGGAGTCCCGTCCTATCAGATTGGCACAGCTCCATCTCCCATATAACGAATCTGGAGTCCCATCCTATCATATTAGCCAAACAGTTTCGATTTTGCTATATCTCACTCGAAAGATTTTTTCTTATCTCTCACTCGATTTTCTCACTCAAATTTACAGTGCATTTTCTTGTAAGTTACAGTGTAATTTATAAAACTTACACTGTAACTTTTGTAAGTTACACTGTAATTTTTGAATCTTCACATGTAAATTTTAAATTTTGTATTGGATTTGGTCTTTTTCTTGAGGATATGGTAATTTAATATTCATTATGGTGTTTCTTAATTGCTTTTTGCTTTTTATTATATCTATCGGATTTTAATATAAAGATTAAAAATCTGTGTGATACGATTATAAAAATCTTTCGAAAGATGTATAGGTACTCCCAACAGTTTTGTGGAGCTCTATCACAAAATAAACTATAGAGTTGTGGAGCTGGGTTTATGCAGCTTCACAACTCCACTCCAGACCCTGAAGCTAAATTTAAAAGTTGGAGTTGTACCAAACAGGCCCTAAGTTTTTTTACGGAGGAAGTAACCACAAAGTTATGCAACAAATCACCTATAAACATCCTGTCATATCAAGATAAATCATATGGCATCATCAGCCGCCCAACAATAGGCATAAGCCACAACGCTGTGGATCTCAAAGAAAAGTCATGACAATGTGCATCACCACACCATCAGCTGCCCAGCATCAATTCTTCCAAACGATCCAATAATCCCTTCCCCCTCCCCATCCAAATCACCTTTTAATTATTCTGCGTCCGCGATTTCGCAATCACCCGAATTCATTTCGTGTTATCCCCAAATCTCGCGTCATCTCTCTTGACCTGGGCCAAGCAATCGATCATCCCGATCCACTCGGGCTTTAAACAAATCGCTGCAAATTTGTTGTTTTCCCCTTAAATTTTTATGCCAAGATCGCTTAAATTCAACCGGCCAGGTGGGGATTTCCTAGGAGAGGAAGGCGATGGCGCCGCCGCGGAAGCAGCAGCAGGAGGAGGAGATGGTTGCCGGCGGAGGCGAGGCGGCGGCGCTGCGGGCGCCGGCGGACGTGATCGCGCGGGTGTTCTCGCAGCTGGACTGCGTCGACCTCCTCAGCTGCTCGCTCGTGTGCAGGTCAGTGAGCAGAGCACGACGCGATTCCCGGTTCTTGCACGCGGCGTGTTCGACGTAATGCCCACCCCGACGCCTCGAGCTCGCTCGATGCAGTGAATCGAATCCGTTTTGCTCGATCTCTCCGAGTCAATGGCTATGATGTAGCTTGCTGTCTATTGGTATCTGCCTTTTGCTTACAGGCTGGATCATAGCTCTGCTCTTAACAGTGGAGAGTTGAATTGATGATGGATCATCGCTGGTGAATTAGGGAGATCCCTAAATCCGATTAATTTTCGTGTTTTAAGAACATTTCGGTCAAGCAAACGGCCATCATATTTCTTGCTGAATTTTCTGACCAAAGTGAAACTACAGTTAGTTTAATTGGTGCTTGATCAGTTGCTAAAAGAAGTGAATACTCTTTTTTTTTTTTGTAAAAGAAGTGAATACTGAACACAAGAATATTCATCTTTTCTTCTGTTACCTCAAGCAATTTGCTCAGTACTAGTACCCTTCTGACCTGAAACTTTGCTCATCATTTTGTGAATCATCAGGCAATGGTACCGCGACTCCGCGGAGCTGCGAGAGGAGTGGAGAAAGGAGTACATGGAGGCCTGGAACCAGTTTGGTCTCTACGTCAAGCAGCAGCCGCAGCAGCCATGCCCGACCTGCTCAAGCTCGATCAGAACCCTGCGAGGCCTGTGTTCCTGAGAACTGCTGCTCCCTCCATTCCCTGTCCTGCCATTTTCACAAAGGCAAAACATTTGTAGATGGCACCAACTTCTGTATTGCACATGAGCATTGGTGGTGGCAGACTTGTGTGTTTTGGGTAGTGTCAGTGCTGCCTCTGCAACAGATTCATCAGTATGTGTGTACATGGTGAATAAAACTGATGTTAGTTACATGGTGGATTGCTCTTCTGTATAATTGTATTGTTGATTGGTGTGTAATGCAGTAATGCAATGTGCCTCTTGATATATGCAAGAAAATTCATGTGAACAAAACCAAACAGCAAATTCATGTGAATCTGCCATTATTGAGCCACCAAAAACCAAGTACATGCACACACCATTATTATGAACATTGCCTCTAGGCCCTGTTCACATAAACCCCTCCAGCTTTGCACAACACAAAGCCTGATAGGCACACATCAAGCTCAATCTGATGGATTTTCTACAACCATACAACACAGCATAATATCACCAAATTCCTGGAACTTGCAATCTGTTATAAGTGATATACCAACCAGTACTATAATATATGTCTGACAAATGGTTTAGCGCAACTCATGAAAGTCTTAACAACCATCTACTCATCTAGTAGGTAACAAGTATAAGATCCACAACTTAAAGAGAGATTTGCATGCGTGTAGACCTAAAATATACTCCACTTAACCATTGCTGTAACATTTAATCTCACACGATATGTTTCTAGGATAGTGATGAAGAACTCCATGCTGCTTGCAAAACCGAAGCCATCATTCAGTCATTGCGTTCGGCATTGGCCTGGAGGAGGCCATCTCTTATCTGCGCCGCGACATCCTTGACTGCTCCGGGGCCATGGGGGATGAACACTGAGGTGGACTTGGAGGAGGCCCCAATCTCCTTCATGGTGTCAAAGTACTGGGTAACAAGAACCATGTCCATGATATCCTTTGCAGTGGTTCCAGGGACATTCTCCGAGAAGGCGAGCACGCTGTCTCTCAGCCCATCCACTATGGCCTGACGCTGCCTCGCGATACCGACACCAGCCAGGTACTTGGACTCTGCCTCTCCTTCAGCTTTCTTGATCTGTAGTATCTTCTCGGCTTCGGCTTTCTCATTGGCTGCCACCCTCAATCTTGCAGCTGCTCAACAATACCATAAATCAAGATGTTAGATGGAAATAATTCTGAGTACATGTTACAGAATCAATCAAAACAATCAATGTGTAAATGATTATGTGATTGATGGAAGGAACTATTGCCAACTCAGTATTCCCAAAAAGCTATTGCCAACTCAATCTTTGGCGAGAAGATCGAAAGCAAGCAACAATTATGCAGGGAAAGGGCAATGGTTACTTGCCTGCGTTGATCTCATTCATTGCTCTCTTGACATGGACATCAGGCTCAATATCAATGATCAGAGTTTGCACAATCTCATACCCATATGCAGACATTGCCTACAGCAATCATAAATCCAGTCAGTCCAAAAACAAATGTTTTCTTGTCTCTAGGATAGCAAATAGTAGACAAACCTTTTCAAGCTCATCTTCAACAGCCTTTGCAATATCATTCTTCTGCTCAAATGCATCATCCAAGTTCAGCTTTGGAACAGTAGCTCTAATGACTAAAAGATAAACGATGTCGCCCAATGAGAAACGTAGAATTCCTTTCGTTCACTAATTAAAAACTTAGCAGGTATATATGATGCTCAAAACTGAAACTGTTAACTTCAACTAGCCTAGCAAAGAACACACGAAGACAAAACTATATATGAAAAGAGATGGGGACTTCGACATGTGAAATAGAATTTTCAGACAGATGGAAGTGCAGAACATTTACCATCAAAGACATACGACTGGATTTGTTCCCTGGTGTTGCTTAGTTTGTAGAAGGCATCAGATGCCTTGTCAGCAAGAGCACGGTATTGCACAGATGCAACAACAGTGACAAAGACATTGTCCTAAATTCACAAAGATCCATACATTAGAGCTAGGAAAAAATATACCTAGTGAGTTATCTCAAAAATGTTAATGAAATATTTCTGTTCTTCACTCATACTGAGTTAGTGAGTTATCTGGGTTTCACTTTATAACAGAAATATGTTCTTCACTCATTGTTCACTTTCCAGCAAAGCATGAAAAAAAGAAAAAATAGAACGAGATTGGAGTAAACCTTTGTCTTTGTTTCGCAGCGGACATCCAGCTGCTTCACACGCAGTGAGAGGTAACCAGCAATTTGCTGTCCTATGCACCAAGGTAAGAAGTGGCACCCAGGCTCTAGAACCTCACTAAACTTGCCGAAATTTTCTTTGATGGCTACAGTTGACTGATCAATCTGTACTAAACCCAAACACTGACCCATGTCTTACCTGCAAAGGAAAACGACTTAAACTTGAAAGATGGTTCAGATACTGCAGAAAGTATAATTTTATTTATTTATCATCTCACAAGTGAAGCTTGCAATGCAAAATCAGTGAAGGTATCACTGAAAAGCGAGGCTACAAATTTTAGGATATGCTTCACAATAATTTGTACAGATTGAAGTTAACAGTCCCAACTCCCAAGTAACAGTTAGAAAAGTGTGAATCATGCCCAATCAGAATGACATTACATGATGACAAATATAAAGTAGTTCGTAATGCAGCTCAATGCTTTGAAAATTAGTAAATCTGAGACACCACAAAACAGCTCAATCATATCAACTCGTGGCACAATATCAAATTCATCCCCCAAAGAACTCATCCCATCTAATTATTTCAAATAAGCGCATGCTTGAGACAGTAAAAAAAGTGGATCATATGCAATCAAAATAATAATACATCATGGAAACTTAAAATATATATATACATATGAAACACCACAACACCTCGAAAAATAAGTCACAAAAAAACATTCAGCGGTATCCGTTAGAAAAACTCGAATCACTAAAACCAACTGATCAGATCAGTAAGCACCGCAAGACAAACGAGTGTTGGCATGGCGCACTAAAAGAACACTGGGATCAAAGGAAACGATCGCCACCAAGATGCAAATTTCTTGGCCACCTAAAGGCAAACTAAACTAGCACACCCAAACTACATAAACAAACAGATCCATCACACAAACCCGCAAAAACGACTCTCGAACCAAAGCTTTTTAGTAGGGTTTAAACACGCTGAATATACCCCACAAAAAAGAAGAAAATATTTCTTCCACTTTAATTTTTCACAAGCATAACCATCTCACAAAATCCCCCCAAAGAACCCCAGGCCCGTGCCCGCATTACCAAAATCCATCTAATACTCGGAGAGGAGATGAAAACCTTCAAGAAATCCTCGAAAACCTTCTTACCTTCGATCGAGGCAGAGGAGAATCCGACGAAGAATTCAAATTCGCCGAAGTAAACACTGAGAGGAGATGATTCGTGAGCGGTTGCAGCTTTGATTTGCTTTGGGGTTTTGAGAGCTCCATCGTGTGGGGGTCTATATATACACACAGACGCGGCCGAGAAGTAGAGGCGGTGCTCTTTAATTTAATTAATTACCGCGATGGACGGCCCAGATCTTCTCTCGATGACGATCGGACGGCGGTGATTCGCCTGTCCGTCGAATATGGTAGTCGCGGATACTTCTTGGTGACGGGAAAGGACTGTAATTAGGAAATAGTTTTATTTTTGGTCGATGTTTTAAGAAAGTTTCTAGTAGGGTTTTATTTTGGTCCATATTTACAATGTCCTGATCGATATATTTATTACCTTTTCTTTTAGAAAATGAGATAAAATTTGGGACTACCTATATTTATAGTTATAGCATCATATTTTTCACCAAAAAATAGTTGACATGTATTTACATTGTAAGTTCCTAAATTACATATGTAATTTTAATGTAAGTCTTAAAATTACATTACATATGTAAATACCAAAATTACGTATTAATTACATATGTAAGTGATGTGTAAGTGGGGTGTAATTTTTTAGATAATGGAAGCTTTATTAAGACTCAGTCAAATATACCAAGATGATACATTTCAACTGAGCTCACCCCCGGCCTCTGCATAAAATGCACACAACCAATAAAAGGACGAAACTAAACCCCCATCACGAAACATAGATGTTAGTGACTATCAATCCGTAGACTAGATCGCCACCTATGCTCTTGGGTAAAAACATCCCGTGCCACCTGGTCCAAACGTCGAGATACCACCGCAATAGTATCCTGCAATCCCGGTTTGTGGAGGATAGCCCAGGTACGCAGCCACCGGGTAACTAGAGTAATAACCTGTAAAGGAGAAGACACTAACTTGTTATAAAAAAATAACCCCGTTTCTGCTTAGCCAAATGGACCAACAAAGAGCTGCTGCACCCATCAAAAGCAGATTTCTCATTTCTTTAGGAACACATGAAAGCCAACGCCCAAACATATGAGTAACATTTCAAGGAGGTTGAAAGTTAGAGGCCATATGAATAACGGACCATACCAAACGAGATAGATGACATTGGAAGAACAAATGTTGAATGGTTTCATCCTTATGACGAAAGCAACATTTTTTACTGCCTTTCCAATTTTGTTTAGCTAGGTTATCCTTGGTTAGAATTACTCCCCGACGTAAGTACCAAAGAAAAACTTTTACTTTTAGCGGTACTTTAATCTTCCAAATACGTCTATTAATATTTGGGACGTCCGTATGAACAAGAGCTATATAATGTGAATTGACCGAGAAGACCCCAGTGGGATGTAATTACTGTGCAAATTTGTATAAATATATAATTAGAATAACAAATTTGACTGCTACAAAGACAGGAGGTGGAGAAACGGATGTTCATTGTGCACACGATGTCCAGCGCAGCGCATCCAAGCCATTAAAATCCAACTGTACTCAGCCACGTAATGTAGCGACACTTTTTCAGCAAATCCATAAAATTTTGGTCGAGAATTATGGTGGTAACATTGACAGGTTTTAAATTTTTGGAGTATATTTTCCACGAACCCACCGGGAAGTACCGTGTAAACTTTCAATACGAGAAGAGAAACAACATAGACTAAAAATATCGTCGATTTTCTAAAAATGAGTTATGAGATATTTCTAAATGTGCAAGCATCTCTCTGTCACATTTCCTTTTTATGTTTGGAAAGATGTACAATATATATGAAAACAGGAATGGTTTCCAATGGTCCATATGCAATGCACATATATAGGAAGATTATATCCCTAAATGATGACCTGCGTGAATTAGGAAGGACACATTATTGGTATAATATAATAGCACTGGCACACATAATTGGATCGTTCCTCGCAAGCTACTATCTTCGAGTAATACTTGAAATTGCAAGTGGCATCCTGCATCATTACAAGGCCTAATTGAATCAGCCTTTAGGTTAGACGTTCGATCGAGAGGCAGTGATACACAAACCAAACCCTCTGTTTGGAACAAGGGAATAAAATCGAATTTTCGCCACCAAAATTCTTCCATCACAAACATGACTAAATTTGTGAGTGCTGATTTCTGAGAAAACATATGGTAACATTCTAATAAATAGATTATTCGTGGACACGAGGATTTGAAATTACAAGCAATATACTAAAGAGAACTTTTCAAAGATATATCTTTAGAAGCGTGGAGCAAGTAATGCACGGCAATAATCTGGTGAATACGCAGAAAAGAACACAACCTCACATTCACAGCGTGTTCATGAGCCAAGAAAATTTATGACCATGCAGGAAATTCAGGTTTTGCACCTTCCAGGAAACAGTGTAGGAATGATGGCATTGCCTTCTTTAAGCGAAATGCAGGTAAAACCGCGGGGTGTGTATCACTATCCGTTTCTAGGCAAAACGCAGAGAATCACGTTGCCTCTGCTGCAGGTCTGCAACCAAGACTTGGCTTGCTGCAAGAAAACAGTATGGCTCTCTGCAAATATGCATCCACAAGAGAACAAGAGATGCACAGCTGGGAAAATGCCTATAGATCAACAAGAGGGCATTTTTTGGAGAACAATAATGCACTCACAACAGAACCACATTGGCATATCTACCAACCATTTTTGCATTTTAGGGTATGTGCAGTTTCGCATAAACAGTCTGGTAGGATGCACCTATGCCTCCTAAATGATGTAAGGGCAATCATTAGGAGGATCATTGTGTAATTAAATTAACCAAAGCTAGCTTACTTTGGAGGAAAAATATATAGAAAAGGGTCTATCAGCATCCAGTTAAAACCTCAGTGCAAACATCCACAAGGGAAATCTGGTACCTACAGCTCCTTTTCACCTATATCCATTTTCACATGTCAATCTACAGGAAAGATCAATTCAGATTGCACAACAATGTTCAGCCAAGCCACTCAGCCCCCCAACCAAGTTCCACCAACTAGACCAGGATTCTCTAGTTATTTCACGTTCGGCTTGGGTGAGTAGCGGAACGGGGAAGCACGGGGGCCATCGGACAGGCTCCTCATCGGTTGCTGCCCGTTCCGAGCAAATGAACCCTGCACCTTAAGGGCATGGCTCCTACCATTCATGCTGCTTGAGTGCGCCATTCTCTCAGCTTGCATTGTCTGATAGAAGTACGAGGAGCTAGCCATGTCCTTGAGGTTGAGCAGTGGCTTGAGAACCTCTACCACTTGGCTCATCAGTGGCCGGGCTTTCGGGTCCCGGTTGAGACAAGCACGTGCTAACTGTGCTGCCTTCTGGGCACCTTTGACCGAGAAGTTACCCTCCAAACGAGGGTCAATTAGCTTGTAGAAGCGCTGCCTTTCTCCTAGGAGGGGGCGTGCCCACTCAACAAGGTTGTGCTCACCATTTGGGCGGTTCTTGTCCATTGACCTGCGCCCTGACATCATCTCAAGTAGCACCACACCAAAACTATAGACATCACTCTTTGATGTCAAATGGCCTGAAAAGTGGAAAAAATACAAGAAAATTATACCAAGAGTCATAATGAAAATCGCATAAAATACCAAAGGCAACAAATCTGTGTTTGAACTTCATTTGCACAAATAATCATTGAAAAACCCAGTGCCCAGCATTAGCCTAATATTCAAAAAGATTGTTGATGATATGCAGGCAATAATACATTTTCCTGGAAATCAAATGAATGACAAACATCTACCATATGGACAACATCACTTAACTCTACAGTTGCACTCTTAGACATATTTGTTTTGCCCCTGCAAATGTGTTTTCACAACAGTGCTGGGATTTCTAATCAAACAAGACGCACTTGTGCAACTACTATTAATTGTAATGACAAGTAATTAAATATTATGGTATTTCCCTTCTACATTATTTTCCCAAGATCAAGTGTAAAGGCTTAATATAGTTCATAAATAGAGCTGACATTAATTACATTAATCATAGCCAAAGAAACTAATTGATACACTGTATACATATTATTAATTCTAGGAAGAACTAACTAAAATATTTTGTATATTACATTCACAATATTTTGTACATTAACCACTAATCTACTATATCATGACAATTCTTCTTATAATCATTTCCATTCCATAGATTTAAGTGTCGCCGATAAGAGAGACCGAAAGACCATAGGGTGCATAAGCTGATCGTTGATGCAAGAACTGTAATAGTAAATCGCCATAGCTGACTTGTTTTTGGCATACATAGGAGAGATAAAACAAAGTGGAAGTGGAACTATCTTCAGACCAGTTATGTTTTGTCTGAGTGATGACCAGGGTTTCCCAAACCGCCGGGGCCAGGGTTACCGCACCCCGGCAGTAAGCACGGTTACCACGCAGTAACCGCGATAACCGTGAAAAACCATACAAAACCGTGCAAAATTTATCAAAACTTTAAATTATTTTTTAAATTTATTTGAATTTAAGGAGGTTACTGCGGTATTTATATTACCGTACCCCCGCGGTTACCGGCGGTAACGTCAACCCTGGTGATGACTGATGAAGCACTTACCTGTCATAACATACTCCGGAGCTGCATAACCATATGTTCCCATTACTCGAGTAGACACGTGAGTTTTGTCACCTACAGGGCCATCTTTGGCAAGCCCAAAATCTGAGAGTTTTGCATTGTAATCCTGCAAGAGTAGCATAATATACAAAATTACAAGATGTGAATCGTGTGGTGTGCAATACGTAATCCAATTCAAGGACTTAAAACTTACAGCATCTAGCAGTATATTAGATGTTTTAAAATCACGGTAAATAACTGGTCTTTCTGCTTCTTCATGAAGGAAAGCAAGACCCTTTGCTGCTCCAAGAGCAACCTTCATTCTGATGGACCAAGGGAGAGGAAGAGACCCTATAGGTGAATCATAAATCATATAAGATTCAATATTTCTATCTATTTAATATTTTTTCCAGCAGCAAGATGCAATGACCAAACACTTCAGAAGAGCTACTCAAATATGAATGATAAGTTCATTCATTAAAGCACAGGCATTGTATACAAATTGAAGTTTCAATGTCTTGAGAAACTGGTCAGACACGTACTTCTGAATAGATGGTTATCTAAACTTCCACGAGGCATGAATTCATAAACCAGCAATCTTTGGTCATCTTCAACACAATATCCAATCAGCCTCACCAAATTGGGATGGTGAAGGTTACCTAGGAAATCAACCTCTGCCTGAAACGAAGCAGAACAAATGTCAGTCATTGGGGGTTCTAATGGGAATGGTACCAAACATGAACGGAACAAAAGCAATTTGAACAATAAGAATAACAAAGCACATACCACCCATTCTTTGTGCCCTTGAAGCCCATCATGATTGAGTGTTTTGACAGCAACTGTAAGGCCTGTACCAGGTTTCATAGGTGCAGTTCCATTCTCTTCAATCCACCCTTTAAAAACACATCCAAAACCCCCCTCTCCAAGGATACTCTCAGGCCTGAAGTTCCGGGTGGCACATTTTAGATCATTGAATGCAAACTTGCGCAACTGTGAGGCAACTTTTATTTCCTCTCCAGCTTTAGATGCTGATGAACTGCTCTCAGCATTACTAGTAGTTGTTGAGCCTGAGACTACTGATACAACTGGATGGTTCCTGCTACCATTTTCGGTTGACTTTTCTGCTGTTCCATGAAATGGATAACAGTTTTAATATGGCATACTAATGAGAAACGAAAGACCATCTCCTCAACAATAAATAAACCCCACAACACTAATTCAGATAAACACAAGTAATGAAATTGGCAAACTGTACAGTAACTTCTGGGATACAGCTGAAGGACACAGTGAAGTGTAAAGTTTAGTTTTGGTCTTTTTGGGTATGGATCCCAAGAAAATACGACTTTCTCATGTTCCATTCATTCATGTCCATCAATGAATGCTTAAAGCAGCCAAGCAGCCTTGATGAGTGATGACTCATGATTTCAAACACCACATCTGCTGTCAAAACACCATCAAAGTCAGGTGGCTGATCCTAACATATCAACAACCATTCCTGACTGGAGAAACCAATGGTGCTCATTTATGTGTGCCGTTCTAATTAATTTGCTACGAGATTAAGTGTGGCATGCAAGGAGCACGAACAACCACATGCCACACTAAAAATAGAATAGAAACCCCAAAAGAACACTCATGCCACTGGTCCCATACAGTCGCTCATCCAATATCTATCTTCCAATTTAAACGGTAATAGGTAGTAATGAGAACTACAGCTCAGCTTGAAATATGATGCTGGATGATATGTATGATTTGCCGACTGTTTACCGATAATTACGTGTCCTACACGCTTGTCGTAATAATTACTAGTCAATTTGTACATTCAATGCCCAAAACAGGGACGCGCGCAAAGCGCTGAGGATTCTAAGTACAAAAACATAGCTGCACTCAGCTCTCTACAAAACTATATGCCTATGCATACGTACTCGACATTTACATTCTAACCTACTATAACCTCAGCGCTAATCAAGGCCATGTGGTTACATCACATCTAAATATCCAGACATATTTATGGCCAAAATCCATTTACATAACAGATTCCAAATTCCAATTATAGTCGTTGCAGGTTAGCTCATCTTTAGAAAGGACGAAAGGGACGTTACCGCCGTGCGTGCTGGCGCTGCTGGTGGAGGTGTCCACCTTGGACCGCGGCGGCGGTGGGCAGCTCCCCATCGGCCACAGCCGGATGCAGCACCCGGTGGCCACCGTGGCGTCCTCCCCGCCACCGCCGCCGCCGCTGCCCTTCCGTGGCAGCCGCCGCCTGCTGCTCCCGCTGCCGCTGCCGCTACGGCTCCCGCTGCGGCTCCGGCTGCGGCGGCACCACCCCCACCTCTCCCTCTCCTCCTCCCCGGAGCTCTCCCACCCGTCGAACTGCCCCAGCTCCGGCGGCGCCACCCCCATCCCCACCTCGCACTACACACACTTTCCCAAAAACCTCACAAAGAGGAGAGATCCCCTCCACCACCACCACCACCTCCTCCTCCAAATCGCGCAAAACCACCTCACTCCGGGCGCCTCGGACGCATCAGATCGGCCACAAAACCGCCGCCCTCACGCATCAACGAAAGCACCAAAAATCACCACCGCCGCCGCCACCGCAGAACAAAATCCCACCAGTATTTCCGCCGACGAACACGCCCACAAATCAAACCAAACCAAATCAAATCACCCCCACCTACACCACCAAATCTCCCTCAACCCCACCACCACCACCACCACCCCCCATCCTCACCCAACCCAAGCTCACCACCACGCCCGGCTTACCGCAGCAGCTGAACCAGGTAGACAGCAGGACAGCCCACCTGCCTCGCTCGCCGGCGGCGGCGGCGGCGGCGGAGGAGGAGGAGGCGGCGGCGAGAGGTGGAGGGGGAATAAGCGGAGAGAATAATGGATTTGCGTCAAAAGAAGGAAGGAAGGAGGAGACAAGGAAGCGGAGGAAAAGCACAAATGTTCCTCGCTTCGCTTCACACTCTCTCTCTCTCTTCTCTTCGCTTTTTTCCTTTTTTTTTTTTTTTTGTGCTGCTTCTCTTCTTCTTCTCGGCTTTAGGGGAAGGGAGCACGTGGTCTACGTGGACCGCTTTTGCAGCGTGCGGCGGCACTGTCGGCTGGGGCCCGCGGCGAGGGGTGGGGCCCACCGAGCCGATGTGGCGCTGACGTGGACGTCGGCGTACCCTGCACTTCTCCCTCCGTTTCGTCATTTTAAATCGAACTTTTTTTAAGGTTTAATTAAGTTTATAAACAAATTTAACAACATTGAGAATGTTAAATTAGGTTTATTAAAGGTAATGTTGAATATATTTTGATAATATATTTATTTTGTGTTAAAATTTTGTTACAGTTTTTTTATAAAGTTAGTCAAAATAAAAATAATTTGATTAAAAAGTAAATCGTAATAGCTTAGTAATATAAAACAAAGAGAGTACTGTGTAATCTTGTTGTTTTTGCAGGGAATGATTGGGGATAGGGGGGAATGAAGGGCTGTCCCTTTGTGAGATTTTTTTCTTGTCCCAGTTCGTCGGTGAAGAGATTAGAGATGTGAAGGGTTACAGTGCTACTCTCGTCGTTTCTTAGTTTGATTTTGTTGGCGTCCAAAAGGTGTCACAAACTCATAATTTGTTAACCTAGCGTTTGCTTGATTGGTTATACACTTTTATTACTTCTCGAATTCGCATATGGTGGACTCTACCTTTTTTTTTTAGAACATCGTAAACTCTACTGGCATAGTTATCTCTAACTTATTGTTGCCCACATTTTATATGACATGTTGGCATGTTTCGATTAGTGCTAATTTATACCATACGATTTTTTTTAAGGTAAATGTGATAAATATATGGATGCATTTAGTTTGTTACCAAATATTAGTAATATCTAGAGAATTTTGGCAACAACACATTTAGCCTTATCAAAACTTTACATTGTTATCACTTTACTAAAATTTTGGTTTTGCCAAATTTTTGAAAGTTCATTTTGGCACTAATCTAAACATGCATGTCTCATCCCTTTGACAAAGTGAGGTGGAGCAGGGGGAAGCATTAGCGGTGTGATGGTGGAGTCGTGATGCATGTCTCCGCCCACTACGATTCAAGTCTAGTGTCATGAATATTACGCGCATATAGGTGGGTTTTAATAGGAAATTAGTGAGTTCAATGCACATGTCCAGATAATGCAGCGTGAGTGTAGTGTGAGTGTTCTATAGCACATGACACCAAGATGCAGTCCAGATATCATGTGGACAACGAGAGGCCAACGGTGAGGCATGATATCTTAGGAAAAGTCATGTGCTCGGGTTGTGCATGTGCTTCTTTATGCGCATCGCACACCCTCATGGACTTCTTCACGCGCGGTCCATGCGCTCGTGGACTTCTTCATGCGCATCATATGCCCTTGTGGATTTCTTGATGCGTGATCCGTGCTCTCGTGGATTTCTTCATGCGTGATCCAGCCATTCTTCGGCGGTGAGGAGTGCACCCCCGCCGAGCTCCGCCTCATCGGCACGCCCATCGTCTCAGTCCCGCGCACCGACCGGCTCTGGCGCATGTTCCTCCCGCCCGCCGCCGCCCCGTGCTGCTTCGCCATGGCCTCGCCGTCCTCCGCCGCAGTTGGTGACGATGACGCGGCTCTCCTCCCCGCCGTCCTCCGCCACTCCCGTCGCAAGCGCCGCGGCCGCTCCCGCCGTCCTCAAGCCCCGGCGGCCGACGCCGCCCCGTGCCCCTCTGGGAGAGAAGATAGACAGAGAAGAGAGAGAAGACAGACAAGAGAGCTGACATGTGGGCCCAAGGGCATTTTTGACATTTCACATGATTTCTCTCCTCTTCAACCGGAAATTATTATTCTAATCGACGCGGTGTCCATTGGCAAATTACCACGTTTATGGAGTATTTTCCCCCAAAAGTGAGTTCGAGCGGTGTTCCACGGCTAAAACTACGAAGTCGAAGTGTCCTTTAGCAAAATTTGCCAAAAATATAAGGCACATTTTGTTTAACAAGGTAATCCGTATTATCCAAGAATTTCTTTACTAATATATTATTTATGTGACACTTTTTTTACTAATATATTATTTATGTGATTTCAAAAATAAAATCTAATATTTTTAATACGAATGCAATCACATTAATTTCGTATACAAATTATACCTAATTAACTAATTGTTGATCGCCCAAATGAAACATAACATGTCTAATATATTTCGAGGGAGGGTTATAGCTGCTCTTTTCCCTCACCTTCCCTCCTCCATATTAGCAGAAACCTATATAAGAGATATGCTAATTCTTGGGTAGTAGCAGCGGTGAGGAGCTAGCTCCCAGACAGGTCGGACGGCTTTCTGGGTTCGGCTGCTAGCGTCTTCCTTATAGATAGCTGTTGATGTTAAAAAAATCGATCGATCACCAAAAATATTAGTATTCGCTCGGGTTTCACGACATCACTAGCTCCATCACTGGTTAGTAGATTTGAAAATCTGTGACAAAGCAAAACTTCAAGTACACGTTACTATTAGGTAAGTTGGTTGCATCGTGTGCTTCTTGTTTTTGCATCTCCGATCCATGACGTCCATTTTGCTGACGTGACTGTCAATTATTCCGACCAAATATCAAAACGTTCGTGTTGACAAAACGGCCACATCTAACATGCACTCTCACATGCACCGGCAAAACGGCGCTCGTTTGACTCTCGTGGAGTCGTGGTTAATTTAATCAAATTTTCTTCTTTCTTCTGCGTATTCCAAATGGCCATTAGATAAATTAAGCAAAGATCGGCATGGATTTTTTTTTGCAGATAAACCGATCAGCATCGGAAGATCCAAGTATGCTTCAACTGCATTGCATTAGTCAGATCACACGTGCTCTTTTGGTGTAAATAGTACATGGTCTCACATGTATCTTGCATTGCATTATTGCCAGTTCAGCTCAAGACATAAACAACGGTTTTAGAGAAACTCCAGGTCAAATGGCTGCCGACTAATCTCCCAACCCAGCTGGTCAACGTTGGGTTCCGTCTCCACATGCTATTAGAAAAATAATTTAAAAATAGCATCCAATGTGTCACTGACATCAGTGACATGTGGGTCAGTGAGTTAAGGCCTCACTTAGCAACACGCATTGGATGCTTATATTTTGTAATTCCCGCATATCTGCAATGATATATTGAGTCATTTGTACATTTAAAATAAACAAAAATGTTACATATGGTTACTTTTTTTTCTGATGTATGAGAATAATATGTTTCTGTACAACCACAAAAGAATCATATATGCTAAAGTCAAGACATAAAAGAATATTAGTCGGCCTATAAATCTCACAATATTATCAATGCACAAACTAACTATTATCACTGGATGCCTTTGCTCCCTTGGCAACCTTTATGAAGACATCCTCCAAGGTGGTATCAACCAGGCCCCAGGCATGCACGGTGAACCGTTTCTTCGCATCCTCAACTGCGCGAAATACCTCGGCTATTTTCACCTCTTGCTTTGGCAGCTCGAACTTTAAAGAATCATATATGCTAAAGTCAAGACATAAAAGAATATTAGTCGGCCTATAAATCTCACAATATTATCAATGCACAAACTAACTATTAACACTGGATGCCTTTGCTCCCTTGGCAACCTTTATGAAGACATCCTCCAAGGTGGTATCAACCAGGCCCCAGGCATGCACGGTGAACCGTTTCTTCGCATCCTCAACTGCGCGAAATACCTCGGCTATTTTCACCTCTTGCTTTGGCAGCTCGAACTTTTGAGTTCCAGATAGGTGGTAGATCTTATTTGCGCTCGGAGACAAGTCATGAACTAGCCGTTCAACCTCTTGTTCTTGGTCTGGAGATGTTGTCATTGTGAATATGTATGCTCCCCCATATCTCGCCTTTAGCTGCATTGTGCAAATGAGGTTTTAGATCTGGTCATAAAGCACACAGTGTGATTCAAGAAGGCAATAAAATGTACCTCCTTAGGATTTCCAAGACATTGGAAATCGCCATCGACAAAGATGCCAAGTCGATCACAAAGTACTTCAGCCTCCTCCATCGAGTGCGCTGCGAGAATCACATTTGATCAACACTATTTGATACTCTTGTAAATTTTAAAATCAATAAGTGACGCGTTAGGAATCTAAGAATTGGACGCGAAAGTAGAAAGGGAAAAGGATAAGTACTAGTAAGAACGATCGCACGGTTTCGCTTGGCCTCCTTCACAACATTCCACAAGTTATTTCTTGATGCGGGGTCTAGCCCAGTGCTTGGTTCATCCATGAAAACGACCTACAGAATGTGTTGTCAGGTTGCATAACACATTAACAAAAGAACAAAAGGACATCCTATGGAAGGGTTAAAAAAATATACAGAAAAGTACTTTGGGGTCTCCAATCAATGATATTGCCACACTGAGCCTTCTTTTCATGCCTCCGCTGTACTTTCCCACTTGCTTATCACCAACACCACCATGGAACAGATTTACGCTCTTCAGAGCATCCTCAACAGCCTAACAGTGGAAAAATCCCAGACATGGTTCAAATACAAGATGTACATATGCTGAGATAGCTGAGCAGTATAGTTTATGAAATACGTGACAAAACAACTTCATATGGTCAACAATGAAATGTGGATATTAAATTTAAAAATAAGTGAGGCAGAGTAGAGGTACCTTCACCAACACAGCACCTTTAAGATTCTTCAGCCTGCCATAAAAGAACAGATGTTCTTTTCCAGTCAATGGTTCCCAAAGTAAGCTGCATTTCAGATTAAAACGTATTACTATAAAAAAAATAATCTGGTCTGGGAAAGATTCTTTTTGGTCAGATAAGTGCTAGTTGTAGCAAATACTCATGCTGTGGGCACACCCCCATGTTTGTATATATGTGATCCATATCCATATTGATATCCATTCCATGAACATAGGAAGTACCAGATGTAGGTTTAACAAGCCCAATCATCTGGTAAAATAACAAAACAAGGTTAATAAAGGTGAGCTGCCACAACTAAGCAATTTTCACAAAAAATGGTACCACGTGCCATTTTAGTACTATACCATACTAATGAAGGATGTTTTCCCAGCTCCATTTGGGCCAAGCATTCCAAAGCACTGCCCTTTTGGTACGGCAAGAGATAATCCTCGAACCGCCAGCTTATCAGGGTTTCCATCCCTTCCAGGATAGATCTTCTTGAGGTTGTGACATATAATAGCTTGATTTGCATTGCGGCCTACCAAAAGTTGCTCAACTACTTCTCTCTGGATAGAATTTGTATAATGAATAAATTTAGAACATATGTACTCCATTAAATCTGGACTGGCAAAGTATAGCAGGTAACCTACTTCTTGAGCAACATCTGGCTTCTCCATATCGACAATTACTTTAGAACCCTGTTGCACAAAGCTAGGCTTCTGCAATGACGGTGTGTGCTTCTTCTGTAAACACCTGAAGAAGAATAAGGGCCTTTTCCTGACACCACCACCTACTGGAGAGACTTGATCCAAATAGAATGCTAACATAAGGAGAAATGCCCATTCTACTGTCATGATGATAAATATACCACACATTCCATTGATTGGGTCTCTCAAATTTCCCCATGTCATGCCAGAGGCTCCCATAGCACTTCCAGAGAAAGCATATTGGCCAAGTTCATATAGTCCTCGATAGAGGGAAAATCCTGGGACAATCTCCATTACTAACAACCAACCATCTGAGTAGAAAACAAAAATGCTTGTTACCCATATTATGTAAATTAAGTTGAAAAATACAACAGATATAATAACTTACTGGGAAAGGTCCTGTCCTCAACAAAGAAACGAAAAAGAAATGCCCCTAGCAAGCCAGAGCCAAATACATAAATGTATCCAATCACTGCAGGAGGAAATATGTAATTTGTGACTTCCAGTAAGAAACATTTTGGACTTATAACTTACAAGGTTGAATCACTAACCAGTGGCTGTCTTGACAGATGAAAAGAAAGATGCCACAAAAAATGCAAGTGCAATCTGCAAATTTATATAAATGAAGAAGAAAGCAAACTGTATGCTGTAGTCATTGAGTCTGAAGAAATTTAGACCTACAAAAAAAATCTATTGAAATATCTAGATTTATTTGTCAGAACAGCACCTTCGTGAAAATAGATTGGAAGAAAATTACCAATTAAGGAGCCAAAAATCACAAAAAATGTCATATAGATAACCGATAGAGCAAAGAAATAAGCATAAGAAATTAGCCAGTAAGGCCCATCCTTCAGACCATGCATCTTCATCATAATTTTTAGCTTTTGTTCCTTCTCATACACCAGATATGTCAACATAACCTGGAAAAGAGAGTCAATTTGCAAGCTGTACAAATCCTGACCATAACACACTCAACACTCCCTTTTTCTTTTGCATCTGAACTTGTTAAATCACATCATACTCACTGGGAAAAGTAGTTCAACTATCCATGTGAAGAATAGCACACTGAGAAGAGAAGAGAGATCAAGCCTAAACCTTGTTCCAACTTTGGGCATCTCTTTTACATATTCAAGCAGCATATCCACCCCACTTCCTCTGATAAATTTTAGGTATGCATTGGATATCTGCAGGAAACAAAGCATAAATTGCTGAATTGTCAGATGGTTCTGTAATACACCGAAATTACTCAGGACGAAGTTATGAAAAGGAAAACATACTGCATTCACCAATCGTGGAACTCGTAATGCTGCGATAAATGAATATGCAGTGTTATCATTATAAGTAGAGTTGTACCAAACATTTATATTGAGGTCATATCCTGTCGTGTTCAAGAAGTCATAACCTGCAGAGAACAATTAAACTATACAGCACACATCATTGCAAATAACCACCACCATTTATACGAAAAACTACATTTGTTATGTTTTGAAGCAATTATTTGGAGATGGGGCCATGGAATTATCTGTACTATGTGTGGCATTCAAAAGCAGTCTGTTGGAAGGTATTCAAATTCAAAATGTGAAAAAAAACCACTGTTACACAAACTCATTCTGGTTGCAAATTGACCACAAAATGGTCACATTGAGATAGAAAGATAACCTGCAACAAACTCATTTGTTTCTCCTCCTCTTTGTACGTAACCCTTAAACAGTTCATAGTTGATAACTGATGCACTTTCACGCCACAACATCTGAACTTCAATACACTGTATATCTGGTTCATTCAACAGGACATCAGAATACAATCTAGGCAGCCCTACGAAAGAGTCTAAATGAACGATGAACATATTGTATTTATTGTTGTCAAACAGACTGCATAAATAGTTAGGAAAAGCTACACTACACAACGTACTAGACATGTACAAGTCTCACCACACAACTACTATATTCCATTATCTAAAAAAACTAGTTGTCTTGTTTCTGTTTGATTGTATTGAAAGTAGAAACCATGCAAAATGAATAACAGAACAGGAAAATATTTTTTAGTCCCTTCAAATGTAAATGAATTTGTACAGGAAAAGTTTTGAATTGCATATTTGCATCCCTAGCCTGACTTACTAGCAAAGTAACTTAAGTTTTTCAACACAAGTCACAAATTCAACATTGCAAAGAAGGAAGCTTTAACTTACCGATATGTAAGGGTACGCCCCCTGCATTGTATGGAATGGTCCCAAACATGAAGGGCATGCAACGAGGCTGGAGAAGATGCAAAGTTTTACCAGAGGAAAAAGCGGGCTCTAGCAATTGGGTATACCATGGCTGTGTGTCTGAACCCTATGACAAATCAGTCCAACCAATAACTCCATAAGCTATTTTTCAAGAAAAAAGCGTGATCTACAAGATGTATACTCATGCAGCCATCGAAGGAACTCACAACAACTATCCTGGAGAGGATATCAAGATAGTCTGTCACTTGAGAGGGAGAAAAGGGAGGAGGCATCAGGTAGTCTGTCACATTAGGCAACGGATAAAGGGCAGGAAACACCCGACCTGAAACACCTGTCAATTGGAAGTACTCAAGAACTATGAACACATTCACCTAATTTTTTGAAATATGAAAAGTTCAAGTATTCATTTTAGCAATCGATCAGCAATATGGAAAATATGACACATACGCTCAGCTAATGTTTGGTTCTCTCCAGTGACGAGGAGAGTGACAGGGCAAGACCCGTCGCCACGGCACAATGGGTTAGGCAAATCGTCGAACGGCTGCGATGCGGTCCCGACAGCCCGGAACCCTGGCCAGGGGACCTGAATCAGGGCCGGCCACCGTGGTGGGCTGGGCACCTCGCAGCTCCATACCTGCTCCAGCGTCGAGTGCTGGATGCCGCACTCCTTCCGCAGGCAGGTCCCATCCAGGTCACTCTCGGTGCATTCGCAGCCGCACTGGTACTTGGGCTTGTCGAGCTCCCCGTTGATCACGTTCTGAAGCACGACGAGCAGCACGCAGATGAGGATCGGGAAGACGGTGATGCCGACGTTCGTCTTCAGGTTCCGCCTCTGCACCCGCAGCCAAAGAGACAAGAATCAGATGCCACCACCAAAAACCATCAACCATATGCCTCCCACCCTCCCAAGAACACAGATGAAATCGATGGCTGCCCATCATCCATCCAAAAGCCCCAAACCAGAGCAGCATGATTAAACCATAAGAACCGGGCAGGCATATCCACAAACACGTCGCGGGCAGCAAGGCAGACACAGAGAAGGGATCAATCGGTGCGGCTTTCCTGGAAGCAGAGGTTCTTGCGGAGGAGGGCGGAGGCCTGGGTGGAGAAGCTGGCGGGGCTCCTCCCCCTCCTCCTCGCGGAATCGTCATCATCCATGGGAGAGGCGGAGGCGGAGGCAGATGGGGAGTAGCCGCTACGCTTCGGCGGCGGTGAGGAGAAGAAGAGGCGTTCGGAGTTGGGATTTTGAGTTAAACCGATTGATTGGGTTTGGTTTAACTTGTCGCGGTTTATATATGCCGTCGATTTCTCGGCTCGGCTCGGCTCCCGCCAAATCCGCTTTCTCCGTCGGTGCTTAGGGACTAGGGACTGTCTATGCTATCGATTAAATTGCACGTACGGTCCCTATACTCGTATACTACTGTCCTGTTTGGAGAACTAACTAAGTTATTTTGAAAGCTACTATTTTTTATACAAGAAAAAAACCTTTAATAAAATATCCCTAAGTTGTTTGGATCCAAGGATTATTTTGAGAGCTATTTGACCTTTAATGCACTTTCCTATGATTTAGATTTATGAACTACTCCCTCCGTTTCGAAATGTTTGACACCGTTGTCTTTTTAGCACATGTTTGACTGTTCGTCTTATTCAAAAACTTTTGTGAAATATGTAAAATTATATGCCTACATAAAAATATATTTAATAATGAAACAAATGATAGGAAAAGAATTAATAATTACTTAAATTTTTTGAATAAGACGAACGGTCAAACATGTTTAAAAAAGTCAACGGCGTCAAATATTTCGAAACGGAGGGAGTATTAAAATATATTTTTGGGTTTCTGAATTTATCATGGTGAGTGCTATATATGTCTAAATAGGGTTCACTCCGCTTCGTGCAGTGACGCAACATGTCATGTCGATACGTATCATCCAGGGTTTGCGAAACCAGCGGTAATCGCTCTGCCAAGGTCAAAATCGTGGTAACACCGCTAAATTCAAATAAATTTAAAAATAATTTAAAATTTTGATAAATTTTATATGTTTTCTTGTGATTTGCCAAGGTAACCGCGTGCTTATCACTAGGGTGCGCTAAGCTTGCTCCCGTTGATAAGGGAAAACCCGCGCAGTCACATATAAAAAGAACTAAAAATATATTTTCTTCTCTCTGTTTTTTAATTTTATTTTTCTATGTAACTGACACGTGGGTTCCACTAATATATAGATGCCACCATGGCATGCCACGACATGTTAAAAAACTAAATATGTGTTTTGAGAGCTTAAGGAAATAGATGACATATCTACACAAGCCTATAGACCACCCGTGCACTTCCCTCTGAAATTTATATGTAGTACGCTTAGTGTGTAATTATATTGTAATTTCTATAAGATAAAACTATAGTACTAACTTTCAAAACCCAGTAATAACGCATTATTTCCGTCAAGTGAAGGTCGTGGGGCCAAACCCATTCATCCCGATGGCGTGCGCTGTAATTTTTTCATTTCCCTCCTGCATTAATCTTGAAGCAAATATAACGATTCAAAATTATGTAAAAGTCGCATACAAGTTAAATAGCAATTGTGTATAAATTACAATGTAAAATTATTAGGAGAAATTTATCGACAAGCAAAATTGTGTTGCTTATTGACATGAAGTACTGACCATAGCGGTAGTATATTGCATTATTGTTGTTACCCTCGTACTCCCTCCGTCTCAAATCAAATGCGAGATTGATTTATTTTTTTGACGGAGGGATTATTTAGGTCATAGCAGTAGTAGATCTACAGGATGGGCCGGGTAAGGGTTGGAGTTGGGCCAATCAAAAGCACAACTTTCATGGGCCGAGCATATTTGTCCGGTTCTGGCCCATTAAGGATATCGGGCCGATGATTTGTGCCAGCCCGATTAATTCGGGTGAAGTTGATGCTATTGGACCTTTTTTGGGCCTGTTTTTCTCTCTCTCTCTCTGGTTTAACTTGCAAGAAGCCATTGAGACGGTGTAGGGCAAACTGAATTTTATGACGGCTGGGATGTGACTTGTGAGAATTATCGTGATTCAAAAGGGTACGGATGATTAAAAATCAAACGGAGTTTTATGGGAATTAAGTTGATATACATAAAAATACGTTCTTTTATCATTTGAATAAAGATGATTAAAATTCTCATAGTAAAATGGGAAAAAATATTTGCTTCAAACCAGTGCAGATGGTATATTGATTAGTGAAACTACCATAGTACTCTGCATTTTTCTTGACAGATAATGTCATTAAATTTTGATATAATATTCGACCATTCATCTTATTAAAAAATGTATAAACGTTATTATTAGAGAAACTTTTAAACTTGACTTATCGTTTTGCGTGCGCACCCGCACACATATATTTTTTTTTAAAACAACATGCCCAAAGTTAACGGTGTCATCTATTATAAAGAAATATATAGGTTCACCCTATCCGTGTCACGAAAATTTCTTGCGCTTCAAAGGGGTCAGTAGCATACTCATGATGGGCTCGTCCTAATGTTCTTCTTCTGAGTTTGAAAGATTTGTGGAGGAAAAGTGGAGGGTTCAACTTGCTATAGGAATTGATACCAGCTATTCACTCATTCGAAATGGACGATTGGGGTATAGGACAAATAGAGGAAATATATCTTTGCTACAGATTTCAAAGGAAAAACTTAGACATCCACTACAACGTACTACCAATTCTTTTTTCCTTCCCTAAGTTCAAGACAAATCAATTAATGCTCAAAACATCCTGTGACTATAATTTTTTCAAAAAAAATCATAAACAAGCTTGATTGATTTAGGCTGTGTTCGGAAGTATCTCTTCCCAACACGCGCAGTACACACGGAAAACAGAGCGGTCCATTAGCGCGTGATTAATTAGGTATTAGCTAATTTTTTTAAAAAAGTTTGATCACTATGATTTTTTAAGCAATTTTTGTATAGAAACTTTTTTTTTTATAAAAAACGTACCATTTAGCAGTTTGAAAAGCGTGCGAGTGGAATACGATGGAGTGGGGTTGGGAACCCTGGGTTCCGAACAAAGCCTTACTATGATTCTATGAAATATTTATGTGTTTAACTAATCCCTTCAAACACCATGTTTTACTTTTTTTCTATCCTGCATTTCAAATAAACCCTCAATAACTAGTTGAATCAAGCTTTATATCTTTTAAAAAGTTATGTTTTCACTGTACTGTTGTCGCTGGCGGCGTGATCAACCATCCACAGATGAAATCGTGTTAAGGCCGCCAGCGATGGATATATGACCCTATTCGTAATAGTGCCAGTTGCTCTTGAATGCTAGTAGACGCAAGCTTAGCTACGCGGAGCATATGCACGAACACGTTCCGGCCCATATCTGCACCTATTCAAGTATGGGCTCTCACGTTCTCGGCAGTTACTCTTATTATTCTACAGTGGACTTAGATGCATGGCCAGAATGAGGTTCTTGACAACATTTGCAGATGGCATACACAATCCAATTGTCCAAGAGGACACGTTCAGGTAGGTTAAGCTATGCAGCATTTACTGGTTTTGCATCATGGCAACAACCAACGGCTTGTGCATAGGGGTGGTAATATGTGCCCAACATTTTAGCCTACAAAATATGATGGCTGAAACCAAAAAAGAGTTAGGCTGAGGTTTAATGAGCTAAAAATATTTAAGAACTGAAATGGGTTGTGAAAAGGTCCATGAGCCTTAACCTATTACCACCCGCTACGTGCACTTTTGGAGACTTTGTTTTGGAAGGGCCAGTCGAAGTTAGGGCAGAGGTAGAGTATGGGAGGGGGAGGGTGCCCACGAACCCGTCCAAAAAAAATTTTTTAGCCTCACCTATTTTTCATCATGCATGTGTGCACCCCTCAATATAAACTTTAGCACCCGCATCAGTTTACACTTGATCTAAAATAGAACAAATTAAGCTTTACTCCGTTTCGTTCTAGCGTGGACCCCGGTCCTGTTACGGTGGTCAATAGAGGTGGAAATAATATGTGCATGTGTTGTAGCTCGTTGTATTATGAAACTTGTTGTCATGTCGTTCTTTTAAAAAATAATTGTAGGTTGTGTGCATATCGTTATCATATCCTATTTATATATACATAGACCGATCGAGCGTGATTTTAGATTAATTACATCAACTTAATATAGTAGTATGATATGAACAAATCTTACTTTATCTTTTAAAATACTTCACACATTCTTCTTCAGTCCATTAAAACTTTGTTTAACTTACGCCTCCAAATTGGCATCGTATCTTAGCACTCGATCCGTAACTTGGAGGCATAAGTTTACTTCTAAAGAAGTACTCCCTTCGTCCTAAAATATTTATGAATGAATATGATATTCTGAAACGGAGGTAATACTTAATAGAAGACCGACAATGCGGTAACACGGTTGAGGCATGCATGTAAAACATACGTAGTATTATATTACGGTTGGCCGTCTTTATTACATACACATCGTGTATTGTTTCTATACATTTGATGCGAAAAACTATTTTGAGCTCTAAATAGCACGTGCCCTCATTTTTTATATCCAGCGGAAATGATTACAAAATATTTCGGAAAAGTTAATTATTGAGCCGCAGCATATACAAACAATCATGTCGTATACATCCATGTTCGCTTGTTTTCAGCTATAGATTTTCCTCGATCCATGGGGCCCAGTTGATCTAAATTAAAGCAACCACTGATGCACATGCAGCTTCAGTCACTACTACACACTACTACAGGAATGATTTTCCTAGGCAGGAGTCATTTTAAATTGCAGACGGACCTTAAGTGGTCGCATCTGCGAAAATCGTGCTACATTTTCGTGTGCGGCTCTCTAAGACGACCGCACGGAAAAATCAATTTTCCTAGACGGGCCACTTAACAGGGCTTATTTTCTCGTGCGGACCTGTTAAGTGGCCCGCACACGAAAATAGCCACCGACCTTTTAGATCGCCCTACACCCAACTATCTCCTCCCCTCGCCCTCTCAGATCGCCCCACACCCATTCTCTCCTCCCATCTCCCTCTCAGCCCCCACACCCACTCCTCCCTCCCTATCCGCCTCCTCCTCCCACTCCTTCCTCCCCCTATCCGCCTCCTCCTCCCACTTCTCCCATCTCCGGCGACGGCGGCGGTGGTCTCGGCTAGGGCGGCGGAGGCGACCATTGGCTATGGTGGTGGCGGCGGAGCGGATCCATCACCGGCCGCCACGGGGAGGCCTGATCCGTTGCCGGCCACCGGGAGGGGGGGGGGGATCCGTCGCCGGCGACCGTAGGGGGGGGGATCCGTCGCCGGCCACCGCGGGGAGGCCGAATCCGTCGCTGGCGACTGCGCGGACGACGACGACGGT